TTAGTTGTTTGTGTCTTTAGTGTTGTGTCTTGCTTTAATGTAATGCTATTATGGCTTTGTGATCCTTGTGAGTTGTGCTTTTGGTAATGGAAATACAAATTTGTCTTCTGTTGATCAATAAGAGTTATGTCAGAAAGACCAACAACCATTCATACAACTAAACAAAAAGAACAATACAAGAACAATACAAGTCGTAGAAAAACCAAACAACAACAAGTTAGGTTCAAACAGACCAAAATACTCCGATAGAAAGGTTTTGTTCAGAAACAAAATAACTTCAGAAAATCTTTATCAAGTGGAACACTGAAACCATGATGCAAATCTACCAAATCCTTGTCCTTCTGGTTGTGCTTCTGGTTGAATTTGTGAATCTGCTCCATGCGTTTGATGAGCTTGTGCACCGTGTGATCGATGCCATGATGTAGCTTGTGATCCTTGTGATCCAAAATGAGGTTGTGATCCTTGTTGAGAGCCAAGATGAGCTTGTGATCCTTGCCCTTGTCCTTGTGAGCCAAGATGAGGTTGTGATCCTTGTGATCCAAAATGAGGTTGTGATCCTTGTTGAGAGCCAAGATGAGCTTGTGATCCTTGCCCTTGTCCTTGTGAGCCAAGATGAGGTTGTGATCCTTGTGAGCCTTGCACTTGCTCTTGTGATCCAGGATGAGTTTGACTAGAAAATGTTGCAAGCACTTATGGCGCCTACCAAAAATTAGAATAAATTCAGTGAGTTGTCACATGAAACAGTGAGTTGTAAAACAGAAAACACATGAATTCAGTGAGTTATAAAACATAAAAAGCTTAAAACCATACCGGCCTTTTTCTTGGTCTTCCTCTTGGTCTAGGTAGTGGATTCAAGACTGTTGCATTTTTGCATCCTTGCCTGTTATGCCCTTCTTGCAGGCAGTTAGAGCATGTCATGATTCTCTTTGCCCGTGACATCTTGTTCTTATTAGAAGAAGAAGCAGTCTCATTTCTTCCCTTTCTCCTAGCATGATTATTAGGCCTTCCTCTGTTGCCTCTTCTCCATGGTGGTGGCAAGACATGCAACCTATTTGTTCTAGGCCACAATGGCATCCCTTGGACAGGCCTAATACCATCCCTATATGTTTCTCGCCACATTACTTTTGTATAATACTCGCTGACATAGTCTTCAACTTTCTCTCTTTTTCCTATTATCACAGATGCCGCATGAATACAAGGGATCCCCACCATCTGCCACTTCCTGCAACCACAAGTTTTCTTCTCCATATCTACAAAGTAACTAACACCATTCACTTCTATTTGATGCAAATTGTTTCTGGCCATATATCTCTCACAATTTCCAACCCCAGCTATCATTTTCTCAATCTCAAGATGGGCTCTCTTTGTGAACCTTGTCTTCAATCTGTCAGCAATGATATACCTCTTTGCAGTTCTCACCATGCATTGCCTCCGGATGTCTTCTAGCAAATCCAACAAAGGCTTTCTCCTAGCCTGTCTAATAGTCCTATTAAAAGACTCACTGAGATTATTGAGGCTGTCATTGCAGCATGTCCCTATTCTAAAGAAGGCTCTTGACCATGTCATTAGTAAGCTGAAGACTTGCATGAGCTTGAGGATTGTACTTCCTAAGCTCTTCCATTTGATTGTTGAACTCTTCTGTGGTGTAACTGCGGGCAATCTTCCAAAAGAGTCGTGTTAGTTCTATATCATGGTTGTCCCTCTTCCAATTGTCCATTATATGCTTTGAACATTGTCGATGCTCAGCTTCTGGGAGTATGGTATGGATAGCTTTGACTAGACCCTGCAGAAATGACATAAGAAAACACAAGAAAATAAGCTGAAAACCATTCATAGAAGACTTTAAACCATAAGCAAACTCTAATAAACCAAGAAAACTAACCGACTGTTTATCTGAGATGATAGCTAGATGTTGCATTTCACAGAGTCCCAAGCTAGCAGAGAGGTGTCTCATAAACCAGTCCCAATTATCATCGTTTTCTATCTCTACAACTGCCCAAGCAATAGGAACAATCCTGTTATCGCCATCCCTTCCAACAGCAGCAAGAAGATGACCCTTTATATCCCATTTCAGAAAGGCTCCATCGATCCCTATCACAGGTCTACAAGTTTGCTTCCAAGAATCCTTTTGAGATTTAAAACATATATATAACCGATAAAACCTCTGCTTGCTTCCAATAACAGGCCCTGGAACTGTCTCTATCTCAAACTCTGTCCCTGGATTCTGCTTTAAAACCTCAGCTTGATAATCCCATATTCTTGAAAAGTGATCATCATGACTAGCATGTCTTGCTCTCAGCACTTTGGTCTTCGCCTTAGCACACTGATCTGGAGTTACTTCCAAGTTGTATTCCCTCCTAATTTCAGCAACCATCTCGTTCTTTGTAAGTTTTGGATTCACTCTCAGCCTTTCCTAAAACAATAATGCAATTGAAGACCGCTTCAACATCTTAGAATATCCTGACCTAACATAGATATGCTCACTGTCATATGCTCTTATTTGCATCTTATGTTTTGTTTTCTCATATGAACAATAGACTCTCCAGCCACAAGGAACACCATCATCACCAACATAGCAACACTTAGCAGCAACTACCAAAGCTTCAGACCTATAGAGTTTAATGTCATACCTTGTCTTTAAGGAGTATCTCAAAAGAGCAAGCTTAAAGTCATCAGGAGTGTTGAAAGTTTTCGCAAGAGCTAGCAACACCTCTGGATCCTCTTCTTCACTTTGATTTCCCTCTTCCTCGGCTCTGTCTTCATCTTCGTCGTCCGATGACAAAGGATCTGGAATCTTGTCATCCTCCCAGATATCATCCCCACTGTCAGAATCTGTATCACCTTGGTCTCCTCTTAAAGCTTCGGGAAAATCTTCTTCCATGTTAACATTCTCTTCCACAGCTAAACCACCATTATCATCGTTATCTCCACCATCAACTGCATCATCAACAACATCATTATCTCCACCACCAACTGCATCATCAACAGCATCACAGTCTTCATCACCATACACGGCGCAGTCATCTTCGATGTCAGGCTCATGCACCATTTCAGGTTCTTCATCCTCCTCTTCTTCATTTCTGACTCTTTTTCGTTTCCGACACCGTCCTGAAGCTCGACCTTTAGCTCCGGTAGAAGATTGAGCTCCGCCAGCTAACTCTGAAGCTTCTTCCGTCGGAGGACATGGAACTCCATCTCCGACGACAACCCCTTCTTCTCTATCTAATTCGCCTTGCATTTCAGCTTCAATTACAGACCCAATCCTCGATACGATTCACAATTGCTAGTTCATCGGAGAATCTCTTTCGAAAAATTAGGGATTTGATTTTCTCAGAATTGGGGATTTCGATTTTTTGAAGTTTCGATTAAAACCAAAACGACTTCGTTTTGGGAAGTAACGGAGGTTTTAACGGGGCTTAACGGGTGTTAACAGGTGTTAGCGGATCTGTTAACGGCTTGGTGTTTTGGCGTGGTCAACGATTTTGTAATGTGCTAAATGGAAGTCAACGTATTTGTCATGTTTAAATTAGCCATTTATGAAATTGGTGTGTCAAATGGCTACAATTTGAAAGTTGGGCTATTAAATGACAGAAACTTGCAAAAACAGTTTGACCAAAAAACTAAAAGAATTTGTAAAACAGAACACCTAATGGCGTCGGGGAAGCTTCCGTGGGATTTGGAGGAAGAGATACTGTCTCGGCTTCCACCTCGATCTCTTGTTCGGTTCAGATCCGTATGTAAACACTGGAACGATCTTTTCTACGATAAGAGCTTTGTCAAAAAGCACTTGAGTCGTACCCGTACCCAATTCATCTTCCTGACCGAATCGAAGAAGATGTACTCGATAGACATCGATATGGGCGGAACGATAGAGGTGCGTGAGCTATCCTATGACTTTCATTGTCAGCCTATGAAGACGAAATTTACAACTATCATGGCTTGCGATGGGTTATTGTTTCGTGAAATTTGGAAACAAGGTGTTGCGGTTTGGAATTCGTGGTTGAGACAGGTTGGATGGATCGAGTACGAGGATAAAGGTTTCCATATTTTTGGTGTAGGATACGATAGTTGTAGACCCGAAAAGGGTTACAAGATCTTGGGGTATATTAATTGTATCCGTAGAGTCAGCGACTCTCTCCAGGAAGGTTATTACAAAGTTGCGATCTACGAGTGTGCATCTCAGGCGTTGAAGTTTATTGATACCCCTTTCAACCACTGGCCCACCAAGGATCCTTTGTCCCTGAACGGGAATCTTTATTGGCTTGCTCATAATCGCGAGACTCTTGAGTATTTCATCCAAACCTTTGATTTCTCGATGGAGATATTCAAACCCTTTTGTCTCCTGCCGTGTCAGATGGACTATTGTAGCAATGAAGTGGGAAATAACGAGAGAAAGTGTAAAAATGATTTAGACATGTTGAAAATGTTGTAGCAGAAAAGCTCATCAGGAGAAGTTCTCGATCTGAACCAAGGTATGAGAAGTGCGAGGAAGAGAATGAATGGCTTTGATTAAATGGCATAAAGATAGAAATGAAAAAAAGATGGTATCAAAGTGGTTTCAATTCATCAATTGTTTGTCTATTTCACCTTGCTTCCCTTTTCTGGACATTCATGTTTGTCCACCTGCTTCTGTATTTCATCCGTGGTTTATCTTTATGGAAATTTCAGTGAAAAAAAAGAAAGAAAAACAGAGGAGGACCCTTTTACGGACAATGAAATTAAAAGTCAAGTCTTCTTCTTGACTTTTTCAGACATAATAATAACAATGCATTTGCTTGGTAGGCTAACCCTGACTTGCTTGAAGGGGTACGAAAAGACCTTAAGTTGGTCGTCGTCTCCTTCATTTATTTATTCTTCCCAATTTACCAAATTTCTCAACACTCTGCTTCAACTTCCCCGTAACTCTCCGCCTCAGATTTTCTCCTTATGCCCTAGATTTGGTTGTTTTTAGGGTCTTTTTGATACTTTCATTTTGGTCTGAAAATGGCTTCACTCAACGAAAACGAGGAGACTCCTCTGCTTCCAATTTCAGACTCATCGTCTCGTACTAGTGATTTCACTTCCAGGACTCGTACCGTTTCCCTCTCAAACCTTTCTTCCTCCGTTGACGGATTTGAAAATTCAACTGTGGTTTTTGGCTACACAGGTCCTCTTCGAACTCGGAGACATCCTCCGTTACTTCAACTGAGTGGTCCTCTTTACTCTACTTGCAAACCTGAACCTCTCTTTCTTCCTCTTCCTTCTTCTGATTCCGTTGGTGTCTCTTCTCAGCCTGAGAGGGATCCTTCTTTTTCTGCTCTTGAACACAAAAACTCCTCAGACGATGAGTCCCTTTTGAAATACGCAAATCTCTTGGGATCTGGACAATTAGGGATGTGTAATGATCCTTACTGTACTACTTGCCCTTCTGATTACTTCCGTAAAACAGCTCAAACCCCTACTCCCAGAGTTTCTGCCATTTTTTATTCCCCGGTATGTTTAAGTTCTTACTTACTCATTCATTCACAAAATAGCTTCAGGCTCAAGTAAATGTTGTTGAAACAGAGTCTTTTGTTTTCTTTATTCAGTTCCATAATGCTCTGTATGATGATGCTAAAGATTGGGCGAGGAGATTTGCTTCCTCTGTTAATAGATACTTACCTGGAATCATGAATCCTCATGCCAAAGAGGTTCAAACCTGGACTAAATTCTTCGCCCTTTCATGCTTGTTAGCTATTTTTATAGATCCTCTCTTCTTCTTCCTCATAAAAGTTCAAGAGGTATGTTTTTCCTTCAGAGATATCTCTCTCTACCTTTTCCTTTGAACCACCTTTTTGACCATCTTTCTTTTCTTACTGTAGCAAAACAAATGCATTATGATTGATTGGCCGATGGCTAAAGCTTTGGTAGCTGTTAAAAGTGTAACAGATATTATAATCTCTGTGAACATTCTGCTTCAGGTGTGTTTCCTTTGCTCCCTTTTATGATTTTATCAAAACAAAATATGTTTGCTTTAATGCTTCTTCTTGCATATTTGTTCCAGTTCCGAATGGCCTATGTAGCTCGTGAGTCTACGGTAGTTGGTGCTGGCCAGTTAGTTAGTCATCCCAAAAAAATTGCCCTTCATTACTTTAGAGGAAAGTTTTTCCTTGACTTGTTCATAGTGATGCCACTTCCACAGGTATTGTAATGTTAGACCTATGAGTGGTTTTAAGTAATGGTAATCGAAGATGTTCATTTATACCGCAGATTTCTCCTTGCATGTTTTCTTTTGTTTACAGATACTGATATTATGGATAATACCAGAACACTTGGGGGCCTCTGGGATATCCGGGGCAAACTACACGAAAAACCTTTTACGCGCTGTAGTTCTTTTCCAATACACTTCAAAGTTATATAGACTTCTACCATTTCTTGCTGGACAAACACAGACCGGGTTCATATTTGAGTCAGCTTGGGCTAATTTTGTCATTAATCTTCTCACTTTCATGCTTGCTGGACATGTTGTTGGCTCTTGCTGGTATCTTTTTGGTCTGCAGGTATGACAAACTCTCAAAAATTAGGTCATTCACTTTTATCTAGTGTCTTTTCATATTGCTGGCTGGCTTTTCTTAAAATACTTATCTTCTCATTGTTTGTTTCCTTTTTTTCTGTTTTATCTTTCAGAGAGTTAATCAATGCCTTCAATATGCTTGCGGTAATTTTGAGCGTGAATGTCGAAATCTTATAAGTTGTGGACTTGTGGTAATGGAAATTGCAATGTATCTGTAAGAGCTGCCTGGAAAGACAATGCTTGTTTCCAAGAAGATGGTTTTCCTTATGGAATATATTTAAAAGCAGTCAATCTTACCAATCATTCTAGTCTCTTCACAAGATACAGCTACTCTCTCTTCTGGGGTTTCCAGGTAATTGGTTTTATTCAGTTTTTTAGCAGCAATTTAAGAACAAGTACTCAACTACTTTGCATTGAGTGGCATATTTGGAACTCTTCATTAATGTCATTTTCTTTTTATAATTCTCAAAGCAAATAAGCACTCTTGCTGGAAACCAAGTCCCAAGCTACTTTCTAGGGGAGGTCTTCTTTACTATGGGTATCACTGGCCTGGGGCTTTTGCTTTTTGCCCTTCTTATTGGTAATATGCAAAATTTCCTTCAAGCTCTTGGTAAAAGGTATACAATTGCATCATAGCATCACTGTATAAAAGTAGATATTGCAAGACATAATGGATGGTTTCTGAATTACCAAGTACTCTGGTGATTGTGCTTTGTCCATATTAGGAATTTGGAAATGACGCTGAGACGGCGTGATGTGGAGCAATGGATGAGCCATAGACGGTTGCCAAATGGTATAAGAAAGTATGTGGACTATCCCTATCAAACTTTGCTTCACAGTTGAATATTTTTGTTTGAAGAATTACATTGGTCTCAATTTCAGTGTGTCACTATAAAACTAACTGATTAATGGTTGAACATTTTCAGGAGGGTGCGAGAGGCTGAACGGTTCAACTGGGCTGCTACCAGAGGCGTTAACGAAGAATTACTCTTTGAGAATATGCCTGATGATCTTCAAAGAGATATAAGACGACACCTCTTTAAATTTCTCAAGAAGGTAAATTTATATCAGAGTGCAGTTCTGTGTATAGAGACTGCTGCTGAAACCAAAGTAATAGTTATGATATCACAGATTAACCATTGTTGAGACTATATACTTAAAAGCAAGAATATCATAGATTAACCATGGTAGATTATTGAAATGATGTTGGGTTCGTAGGTGAGAATATTTTCGTTGATGGATGAATCAATCTTAGATGCCATCAGTGAGAGGCTGAAACAGAGGACATACATAGGGAATAGCACAGTGTTGCACAGCGGAGGTCTAGTTGAGAAAATGGTATTCATTGTGAGAGGTGAGATGGAGAGCATTGGAGAAGACGGTTCTGTTCTTACATTATCGGAAGGCGACGTTTGTGGCGAAGAACTTCTCACTTGGTGCCTCAAACGCTTTTCTGTAAACCCTGGTACATCCCCTTTGACTCTATGTGTTTATAAATATCAAAGTTTTGGGTTAGAAACTCGAAACTGAATATGTTTTGAAACTTGCAGATGGGACGAGAATAAAGATGCCACCAAAGGGATTGGTTAGCAACAGAAATGTTAGGTGTGTGACAAATGTGGAAGCGTTTTCGCTGAGTATAGCAGATCTTGAAGACGTAGCGAGCTTGTTCTCGAGATTCCTAAGGAGCCATAGAGTCCAAGGAGCCATAAGGTATGAGTCTCCTTATTGGAGGCTACGGCAGATTCAAGTGGCTTGGAGATACCGAAGGAGACGGCTTCAGAGAGTATACAGTGCTCAGTCTAGTTACATCCGTTAGGTTATATGCTTCATTCTCGATGGATTGATGATGATATGTAAGTTTGGTGGTTGTCACATAGGTTGTGTGTTTGTATCATAAGATAGCTCAATGCTTCACTTGAATTCAAAAAAAATTCAGTGCAAAATATGAATTAGTGTAATTGCTTTAATAAGATAATTTCTCTCATCCGTAGTCACCTTTCAAAATTGAGATTCCTCGTTTACAGTTTTTTTTTTTTTTAACATCTGTTGTTAAATAATTTTTATATATTTAAACTCTTCAACATATATATCACGATCTAATTTTTACACGAGTCTATATATGAAGCTTGTAAGATGAGGAATGAGCAGAAATACTGTTATTATAATTTCAAATTTGGATGGCTCACAAATCATATTTAGTTATTTACTACGGAGTTCATAAGTTTACATGATGCAATGAAGGAGCTAAATATACAAAATAAATAAGACTAATATTCATACTACGTACTTATTCAATAGACACGAACAAAGAAAAACACAAGAGATGTAAGAGGATGATTAGTTTCTTTAACTGTGACTAAACACCCGATATTTATTTGTTGCCTCCAAATTACTAGATTTGAACCAAACTTGGAACATAATTGTACATAAGCGGGTAACTATATCGATAATCAATTTTCCCAATTACTATTTCTCTGTATATATCTTCTCCAATAATGAATATCTTTATATCCTCGATCCACTTCCTTGACTCTGCGTCTGTATCATGGTCTGTATGCCACACCAGAGCGACTTTATAATCTTCATCGATGGAAAAAGTCGTCTTAAACGAAAACATATTATCAGTACCTGCTGGAAGTTTTAACCCCATGTCCACTTCTACAAACTGGTTCCACGATACAGCATTGGGTTCAATTTTATCTCTGACCCATATCTCCATCTCTAATGCCCAGCGCTGCATTAGCACCGCAAGTTTATTTTCTCTAGTAACAGATAGAGCCACAATATCCGAACCATTCATAAACTGAAATGGAACGTCCATGGCTTCAAATATCTCTTTTGAAAAATCAAAACTTACTAAACAAGTATTGTGCTCTGTTCCTTTTTTATATTCTGAAGCAAACCAATAAGCATTACCTTCCAGGGAAACTGCATGCGTTATTATGCACCAGTCACATGTGACATCAAGAACCCTCCATGAATTTGAGTTAAACTCATAGATTTCTATGCCATGTGCATCTTGGATCCTTAACATTTTGTAGTTATAGCATGATTTCTTGTATTCGTATCCGAAAGCAAATCTATCAGATTTGTCGTATACTCTTCTCGGTTCCACCCACTTGGTTTCCCCTGTGCAAGGATTCCAAACCATGGGTATGTTGTCCTTCGTGATGCAGAACAATAAACCATTGCAATGAACCATTTTATTTATATCGACTTGACTTAGGCTAAGTTCACCTATGTCCTTTATGCATGGATCAAAGTTATTGTTGTGAATTCCACGGAGGTTAACGCTGACTGAATGGGCCCTAGAGTCTTTCAACATGACAACCAAATCTTGTCTTGCTGCTTTTTCAAAGTGTTTTCTGGCGAATCCCTCATCTTTGAATAAAGAGTTCCACAGTTTGCAAGTTGATCGTAATCGTTTCAATGTTGTAGCCGGAAGTCTAGAAAGTATCTCCTCTACCAAATCTTTTGGAAGATCAGACATCATCATGAGTTCTATTTGTATTATCTACTTTGGAATATACTCTTTGAAAGTAGATGTTGGTAAGTTCTCCGTTACAAATTGTGTTTTTAACCTTCACATGTTTTCAATCTTATATAGACCAGAAAAAGACTCAAAAGTTACATTTTTAGTTATGAATCATGAAAAAATAATACATATTTTATGTTATTAAAAAACTATAAGATAAAATGACATCCATCTAACATTATAATTTATAAGATTTTCATTTATCTCAAAATAAATTTATATTTTCACTTGGACTGTTAGAAGTTTAGATTTTATTCTTTATATTAATAAATCAATCTTGAATTGGATCTTTTAATTTAATATTTATACTTAAATGGATTTCCCACTTTTTCTAATTTGAAAGACATAACAGTATAGTACTTCTTTACTTTCTAGTAATTAACTTTCATTCTTATTTCTTTTTTGTTTTGTCATCTGATAGAACCAATAATGAAGTTCAAATCCCCATCCAAAAACTAAAAGCTAAGGGGGTGTTATTCAATGGTGGAGTTAAAGTCAATTCTTTAAGGTTCAGATTTGTTTTTTGATATTGGTTTTAAGAATCTGTTTGTGTGGATTTCAAAATCTCTGCAGTATATCTTGGATTTTGATTCTAATAATTTACTCATGAAACTCCAAAGAGGTTTCATTTGAAATGACTTAATATACAAAGATTTTTCAAGTCTTTTAGTTTTGAATAACACTGGATTTTACAAACCTTAAAGAATTGACTTTAACTCCACCATTGAATAACACCAAACTTTTAAAATCTAATGAAGTATAAGATCTAATAACACCAGATTTTAACGTTAGATTTATAATCATTAGTTGAATAACACTGGATTAATGTTGGATTTCAATTCTTATTAAAATCCATCATTGAATAACACCACCTAAAAAGATTACTCACATCAATATTCTTCCTTTTAAGATTAACATATATTATTATTTGGATGGTATATAATATTTTAGTTTATCATATAAAACACAAGTAGAATAAAAATTTCCACGTAACACAGTGTTTACAATAATTTTATTTTATAACAAAAGCTAAAAGAAACAAATCTTCAACTATAACTTAAATTTCTATTAAAAACATGGGATAAAGCAATGTACATTTGGTACACATCACGTTTTCACGTTTTAAAACATGGTATTCAATAATGAATGTGGAGGAATTGAATTTATATATACATTTTAAAGTATATTTTAGAAAGAATCTTTTATTTTCTAAAGTATTTACAAAAAATTTCATTACTTATATTTATGTATCCAAACAACTTTACTATTAATTCTTTAGTATCCATATAACTAAATACAATTAAAAGATTTGAACATTAATTAATAAATTAGAAATATTCATATAATTTTGTATAATTCTTAATAATATAGATATTTAGAAGATTTTGTTAAGATTTAAAATTATGATTCACTTATTATGTTTGTTTGATTTTATTTTTAATTGTTTTGAATCATCATATACAGTAAACCTCTACAAATTAATAATGTTGGGACCAACATATTTTATTAATTTATAGTGTTATTAATTTATCTATAAATTAATATGTATTAATTTATAGTGTAAATTAATATTTATTAATTCATAGAAATTTTTTTTTAATTGTTAAAAAAATTTAAAAAAAATATGAGGAAAACGATGTGATCTAAATAAAATTAATGTTTTAAATGTTATAAATTTTATAGTTATAGACTTAAACATTTGATATTTCGAAAAGAAAACAATGTTTTTTTTACAATGAATAACAAAGATTATAAAATTTACATATATAAACGATATACATAAATTAAAATTTATAAATAACAATATCTATATTTGTATTTGAAAAACATATACCACTATTAAAACAAAAATGATGCATATTCAAAATTAGAAAACATAGATTAAATTTGGCTATTTTATGAAAAACTCTAATATATATATATATATATATATATATATATACACACACAAATTTACATGATTATTAATTTATGATATTATCGGGACTATATTTTTATATAGGGATTTCAAAAAAATTATTATCTTATTATGTTATCGAATTTAGTAAACTTTTACATTGCCCCGACTTGGGACCGATAAAATTTATTAATTTATCGTGTTTATGAATATATCGAGTATTAATTTATAGAGGTTCTACTGTAATACTATTAAATTAATAAAAATCTAAAAAAATGTATGCATACATTTTGATTCGAATTTTTAAAAACAAACATATATAACTCAATTAATAAAAATATGTATTTAACGTCCCATACTCAATTAATAAAAATATGTATTTAGTTTGAATTAGACCTAGACAAATAAACCGAACAGAATGTACCGAACCGAACCGAACTCGAAGCAAAAAAGAACCGAACCGAACATAAAATTTGAAAATAATCGAATGGATACTAAATTTTATAACCGAAATAATCGTAACCGAATCGGTACCGAACCGAAATACCCGAAATACAATTACATTTTCAATATTTTGTAGACCAAATAATCAAAAACACTTCAAAATAGATTAAAAAAAAAAAAGTAAAAATACCCAAAAATAACCGAAATATATCCAAAAATATCCGAAAATACTCAAAAATAAACGAAAATATCCTAAGCAAAATAACCGAATGGATACTAAATTTTAAAACCGAAAGAACTGCAACCGAACCGAAACTGAACCGAAATTTCAAAATATACGAATGGATACTAAATTTTTGAACCGAAAGAACCGAAACCGAATGGACCCAACCGATAACCGAACGGATAACAGAAAACCCAGGCCTAGCTTGAATTATTCAAAACCACACTGCTAGAGTACTATTTGGGCTCTCATAATTTCGGCCTATATTGTTATGATCGTGTAAATTAATCAAAGCTTTTTGTAATGTTTTTGCCTTTTTTTTTGTTACTTTTACTGAAACAAGTAACCATAAAGAAACAGAAGCAACCCATGTGGTGTTAGTGTAATGACAATTTGTCTCCAAATGATATAGTGACAGTTGGTAATCTCAAATAACCGTGAATTTGATAAAATTGTGAATATCTAAAAGTGAATATTATTTTGGTTCCCTCTTCTTTCACAAAAATATTCACCACCATCTAATTTTTTATAAACATTTATCAATTCATTTCCGTTAATAAAAAAAAAAAAAAAAAAAAAGCATAAATAGAGGAGAGAGAACCCTTAGGAACAAAGAAATCAACAATGTAATTAAAAGTCACTATGACAGAATAAGAAACCCTGACTTTGGTCTTGGTCATTCGTCTCCAACCTTTATTTCTTTTTCCAATTTACCAAAACTCTCAAACTCTCTGCTTCATTCAACTATTTACATCGGTATCAGATTTTTTTTTTTTTTTTTGCTTGGGTCTTTCTTCTTGAAACCTCAATTTTGGTCAAGAAATGGCTTCCACACTAGGAAAAGTATATGATATTCCCATGCTTCCAGCAGTTTCAGACTTATCATCTCGTACCAGAGCTTTCACCTCCAGACCTCGTAACCCCCGAAGTCTTGATCCATAAGAGGCCTAAAACTATCTAGGCCTCTAAAACTATTTGGGCCTAAATTCTTTCGGCCTACTACTTACAACTACAACCGCAAAAAGCAGCCCAAATCCCCACTTCGATCGTTTTTGCCATTATTTATTCCATGATATGTTTCATTTTCTACTTCAGTCACAAACTAGCTTGAGACTAAGTTAATGTTGCTGATACAGAATCTTTCTTTTACTCTCTAGTTCCATATTGCTCTGCATGATGGTTCTAACAGGTTGGACTAGGCGATTTCCTTCATCTGATCACATGTACATGTAAAGGCATATATATGGCTATATAAGTGTATATATTATGCTAATAACGAGATCAAACTTGAACCTTTTTTCACAACGAAGGAATTGTAAGGAGCTTGCGAGTAACGTTTGTCAAGAATCTCCAAAAAAGATAAAGCGAAAGATAAAAACAACAAAAAGAAGAACGTCGAGAAAAAGAAAGAAAGAGAGAGATCTATATAATAATATAAGTAAAGAAAATATAATAATTAATTAATCAATTTAGTGACCAATGACCATATAAGTTAATATATATATATATATATATATATATATTTTTGCGGTCAAAAAAGAAGTATATATATATATATATATACATGTATAAGTTTGAGTAAGAGAAGACAAATGAGGTGAACTCACAAGTACCCAATATTGTTAATTGTCTCTGAGAGTTATAATGGCTCCAGTAGGATTACCTCCAGGCTTTAGATTTCATCCGACTGACGAAGAACTCGTAAACTATTATCTGAAAAGAAAGATCAACGGTCAAGAAATCGAGCTTGATATAATCCCCGAGGTTGATCTCTACAAATGCGAGCCATGGGACCTCGCAGGTACGTATGTTTTACCTTTTTATCACATTTTCAGTAACTATATAATTCCATGTTCTTGGCGAATAGCCTTATCGTCGCACTATATTGATATGAACTGATTTTTAGTTGTTGTGATCGATAAATAAAACTGTAGAGAAGTCGTTTCTACCAAGTAGAGATCCGGAGTGGTATTTTTTTGGGCCACGTGACCGGAAGTATCCGAACGGGTTTAGGACGAACCGAGCAACGAGAGGTGGATACTGGAAATCAACTGGCAAAGATCGGAGAGTGACAAGTCAAAGCAGAGCGATTGGTATGAAAAAGACTTTGGTTTATTATAAAGGAAGAGCTCCTCAAGGGATCCGTACGGATTGGGTTATGCATGAGTATCGTCTCGATGATAAGGATTGTGACGATCCCTCTTCGCTTCAGGTAAATGATCGTTTTTTCATCACTCGATTATATTTACCAAATGATAGTAATTAGTAAAGTAGTTACTACATATATGATCAAAATGTAACTTATACAAACAAAAAGATAACTTCGTAGAGATGCATGGCTGTTAAACAAAAAAAAAAGTAACTAACATGATAATTCTCCATTTCTTTTAGTATAACTATATACATTAATAGAAAGATATGTGTAAATTTTAATTCAAATTAAGGCTTATTTAGAAGCCTGTTAAAATGATATATATTCGTTTCTTGCTGTAAGCTGACAAAAGCTTAGGGTTTCGCTTTGTCTTTACTGCGACGAAGACAAAAGCCGTATCTAATTATTCATTATATATAAGACAAATACTCATATTCATTATACTTGAATAAGTACAAAAATGTTTATTCAAGTATACTTTCTAACATTGAAAATATAAATTGTTTGCGGCAGGACTCGTATGCATTGTGTCGGGTATTCAAGAAGAACGGAATATGTTCAGAGTTGGAATCAGAACGGCAATTACAAACGGGACAATGTAGCTTCACGACGGCGTCAATGGAGGAGATCAATTCGAATAATAACAATAACTACAATAATGAATACGAGACAATGTCGCCGGAAGTGGGAGTTTCTTCCGCCTGCGTTGAAGAAGTAGTAGATGATAAAGACGATTCGTGGATGCAGTTTATAACAGATGACGCATGGGACACGTCATCAAATGGTGCAGCTATGGGACATGGTCAAGGTGTTTATTGACTAATGAACAAAGAGTATTGAAGCAAAAAGACAAGAGTATAGAATTATTGGGATAATAACGTAAACATTTAGGTACACTTTTGTTGTACTTATATATAATCGTTGAAATAAAACCTACGGGTTGTTGGGGTAAAACTTAACTGATTTTATTTTTTCTAATTGTGGGAATGTGTGGGAAAATTAATCACGTGATTTGATTGGGCATTGTATTTATTTTTGTTTTTTATATATATATTTTTTTTTGGTTGGATTGATGATTTTATTATCCATTGATTTGACGGCTCTATGGATATATGGTACCTTTGTTCTTTTTCCTCACATGGGTGTAAGCAGATCAAGTTAATGGATGTGAAAAATTTGGGTTTATACTTTTATTTGTTCTCTTCTTTTTCCATTGTAGTCTATACAATAACGTACGTGAAAACCAAGTTACACTCAACTTTTTATGTCAAATATTTGTTGTCAGTGAAATTTTGCAACTGACCATAACGACAATCAATAGGGAAACAGACATCCGATGTTTCTAAATTCTAACTATAATGTATGGTAATAGAAAATTTTAAAGTATGATCATATTTTACCAAAAAAAAAAAAAAAAAAAACTATGATCATATTCGCCAAGAATAAAAAAAGGGAAGTAGTGAATATTAACATCAAAACAAAACTTTAATCATATATTTTTGGATGGCTTCTCTATATTCTATCAAATAATAGGACTAAACAAGTAAAAGCAGAAAGTGAAGGGTTTGATGAAGTGTAAATCTAAGATTCTGATCTCACTCTCTTCCAAAAAGAAGATCCCTTGCCTTGCGATCAAGGAGATTGGTCTTTCTTTTTTCTCACGCATCTGTATTACTTACGATCATCTCGCTTTCCTCTACCACACTTTGTAAATTCCAATGACCAGAAAAGAACATAACTACGTATAGCTCTCATATCCCTTTAACAAAACTATCTATATGCTCAGCTTCAGCTTTGAAAATCCGCCATAGTTCTTTTTACTGCCACTCAACATATGTTTGGCGTTTACAGCTGTAGAAACTTGTCCAAATATATCTCCTAATATGAAATTTACAAAATGGGTTTTACTTTGGAACCGTAGAAGTGAAAAGTGACTTGTTCTTGTAGATAATTTATGATAAATGTGTTGTAGGGAGTCTTGACTGATTCTTGAATCTCTGCAATGTTGTAGGTCTCTTGAATAAGAATGATGTCTAAACCAGAAGCTCAAGAACGTTTGTCTCACTATAATGGTCTGCCTTTTGTTCTCTTTATGTTGTGTGTGCATGTGTCTAAACCCAAGTCACCTTAATCCAATTTTTCCAAAATAGCGTTTTTTTAAGTTGTAGGCTTTATCATATTTGGATTGGTTAAAAGATGCATATATAGATATTTAAACTATATACTATCAACCCAACATTAAGAATTAACAAAAATTCAATAAGGCTCATGTACTATTATCGTTTATTTCTAAATCAATCCCCATGTAAACAGAGCGTATGAGAAAGTTAAACAAAATCAACTTTCAAAGAAGGGAAAAGCTCCATATACTCTGCTCCAACAACAACGAGAGCAGAAATTGCTTCTGAATCAAAAGTGAGGACACAACTATTGAATTCAGATTTGTAATAAAACACGGAAAAAAATCCAAAAGCTAAACTTGATGTGATATGAATTATTAAGGAACTGAGATCAAATTTGGAAGATAGACAGTGAGAAAACCGAACAATCCATGAATCAATCTGAATCTTCTTGAACATACATACCTCCCCTTACCATATAGATGCAAGCAGCTCCAGTTTCGCCTTCGCCACAACACATGATTAGGGTCTTGTCAAAGATGAAATAACTAATACCACAATACTTATTAACGAGCTTAGGCAAGTTGGTTGTTGGCAATGTCATCAATCTTTTTCAAATATATATATATATATATTAAATTACGTTTTTAGAGTGTAATTTATCTTAAGTTGTATCATATTTGGATTGATAAAAGATGCATGTAGATTAAGCAATACTAGCAACCCAACCTTAAAAAGGTTTACAAAATCAAGAAGGTTCATCATTTATTTCCAAGTCAGGTTCACCAGCTCCATAACATTTTTCTGACTCACCTTTTTTTGTAGTGATTTGAATTCAGAAGGAACCGAGATCAAATTTGGAAGATAGACACAGTGAGAAAAATGATCAAAGCCAGAACCTATTTGAATCTTCTTGCACATGTCTCCCCTCGCGATAAAGATGCAAGCCACTCCGGTTTGATCGGCGCCACAAACATATCTACAGAGGCTGAACTTTATTTACTAATTTCTCTAAGAATGTCAAAAAAAGCTTGAGCGACTAGTCCCACTTGGAAAAAAGCTCATCCAATAGACACATTTAGACCTTTGTATGCTCCAAGAGAAAAGATGAAGAAAATGATAAAGAGATAATGATGGTAAAGGCAGAGATAGATATATACCAGTTTTTAGATTAGGCATCCATTGACCTTGATCTAGAGAAACCTCTTCTTTATCTTCTATTTCCTCATCCAGACCCTCCCAGTGAACATCGCCAGCTCCAGTGTTAGCTGAACCAGTACTATGTTTGTTTCAAACAGTCTTATATCTGGGTTGATAAAAGATAATGAGAACCCGAGAAGTGATAAGGTGACTTGCAGGTATTATGTGACAAGTGTGTTGTTGCAGCTAGTCTTTGGCTGGTTCTTGAGACTCTCTGCGATGTTGCAGGCCTATTGAAAAAAAAGGAACATTGTGTCTAAACCAGAAGCTGAAGGACGTGGGTCTCACTAGTCCTCATCTACGTTTTGTTCTCTTTATCATGTTGTGTGCGTCTAAAATCCAAGTCACCTTCAGCTAATGTGAATTTTGTCTTAGTGTACTTTTGTTTTATATCTATACAACATGATACCAGATGCATATAGATTAAGCTATACTAAGAACCCAACCAAGAACTTCATAAAAAGATGTCAAGAAGGCTCACGTACTAAACCAATCCACATAGAGAGCAGCACATTATAGAAAAGAAATGAAAACAGAATCACATTTCAAACATAATCACATTTCAAAAGACCGGAAAGGCTTTGTACTCTCTTTATTTAAACTAACCAACTGAGATTATGTATAATAAACAAGAAAAATACAAATTCTAAACTTGCACTGATTTGAATTCAGAAGGAACCCAACATATTTGGATTGATAAAAGATTGCATGTAGTAAGCTATACTAGCAACCCAACCTTAAAAAGGTTTACAAAATCAAGGAGGTTCATCATTTATTTCCAAGTATGGTTCACCAGCTCCATAACAATTTTCTGACTTACCTTTTTTTGTAGTGATTTGAATTCAGAAGGAACCGAGATCAAATTTGGAAGATAGACACAGTGAGAAAAATGATCAAAGCCAGAACCTATTTGAATCTTCTTGCACATGTCTCCCCTCGCAATAAAGATGCAAGGCACTCCAGTTTGATCGGCGCCACAACACATGATAAGGGTCTTGTCATAAATGAAGTATCTAATACCAGAAAACTGATTGAAAAGCGAAGGAAAGTTAGGTATTGACAGTGTCATCAAGTTTAACCACACCACGTCATCCTTATTACTATTGTTAATCTTCTCCTTTGTTACCCAAACCTCTGTATTCCTTGATATACGAGATTGCTTTAACAATGCAAACCTATCTCCCTTAAATACAGTGAGGACAAGTTTATGTAGTGAGCCAGAAACATGCTTCCCACAAGGAGGGAGACAAAAGCGCATCGATATTTCCGTGGAGAAATCAAAGCTTCCGAGAAAACACTCACGAGTCTCTTTATTGTAAGAAGTCCAATACAAATTTCCGTTCAAGGAAACATATTCACCTAAACCTGCCAGCATTGGCCAATCCAGGGAATCAATGAACTTAAACGAGTGAGACGCACACTCATAAATCGCAAACCTGAGGTGACCTTCCTGGCAAGCGTCAGTGACTCTACGAAGACGATCAAAATACCCCAAGATCTTGTAACCCTTCTCGGGTTTAGTAGTATCGTATCCTACACCCAATAAATGGAAATCTCTGTCCTCGTACTCGTACTCTATCAATCCAACCTGTCTCAAACATGGATTCCAAATGGTAACCCCTTGCATCCAAAAGTGACGAAACAATATTCCATCGCAAGCCGTGATACGGGTATATGTCGACTTCTTAGCCTCAAAATGTAATTCAGAGGCTAGTTCATTCACCTCTATCGTCGGATCAACGCCGCCCAGACCGATGGTGTCTATCGAATACATTTTGGATTCGGTCAGGATGATGAATTGGGGACGAGCACGAGCCAAGTTGTTGTTGACGAACCTTTTGATAGATATTGATGAGAGTTTAGGATTGGAAGAATAGTATATTGACTCTCATAAGACTAACTATTAGGATTACATAGGTTTATATAGTAAAGAGATTTCCTAAACTAGATGAATACAAATATATAAAATATCTTATATCATAACTATACAATATTTGATAATATATTGTGGATCTTCTAGATCCTTCCATATCCTTCTATACCTTTTGTCGTTGAAAAGATCGTTCCAGTGTTTACATACAGATCTGAGCCGAACAAGAGATCGAGGTGGAAGACGAGACAGTATCTCTTCCTCCAACTCCCACGGAAGCTTCCCCGATGCCATCACTTTTATGTGTTACGAAAATGAAATAACACTCTCCCTTTTTTTTTTGGACCAATTTTAAAAGATTTATTAAAAAGTGGCATATCTTTATACTAAAAAAGAAAGTCTACAAATGTTAATATTTAGAAAACAAGAATGGTATTTAGGAAAGAGATCTATCTTTCAATAATAACTGCATAATTTACATAAAGAAAAATATTCATTTCTCAAGGTTAAAAACAAAAGAGTAGCGAGTGTTCAATGATAAAGTTTATAAACCTTTAATCATTTTCTTTTGAATGGTTCTACGTAATATCTATTGAGCAAACAAGAGGTCAAGAGGACACTCATTTTCTTCTTCTACATTTGGTAAATTCTCAATAACCAGAACATGGCATAAGTATATATATACATCTCAATGATCTCATCCCTGCATAAGAAGAATCTCGTAGATATCTGTCCTAATGTTCAGTTCCTTGTCCCGCATCACTTCTTGTAAATCTGACAACTCCTTTGCCGTCAGGACTGAGCTCAGCTTCCCATACCCATCCAGCCATAGTTTTTTCGACCTGCCACGCCATTATGTTAAGAATTGGTTCTCGATAATATGAGAAATCTGGAGAAAGAACTTTAGATTAAGTATATGTTCCTACCATGGGCATGCATTTATAGCTCGGAAGTAAATCCTTCTAGCTGCTGATGGATTGTGCGCGATGTCGATCTCATATGCAATGTAGCAACGCCATAGAATAACCGAGTTGTTTTGTGTATCTTGGGCCAATGCCCTTTCAAACAATCCACGGATTCTGTGTAGGGAGCCTCCTTTACTCAACTCATAACAAAGTGCAAACAGCCAAACAACGACAGATGAATTCCTACATGATTAACATATTAAACAAGTTTAGCACCAATATATCAATATACATAACCCTTGTTCTAGGAGGAAGACCATAAACATGTAACTAGTCGTCTTTAATCATTTAAGCTAAGCATCCATATCTACATTGGGCAGTACTCGCGAGATGCAAGGTTTATTATTAACAAGTTTGAGAAAAAGCTTACTTGCGGGAGTAGTCATCAAACATCATTCTCAGTCTATGGGATGTCATACGGTGGTTACAGATGTCCACCAAAGCTCGATAAAGCATGGGATTGAGAGGATACAGTTGCAGTCCCTCTGATATGGGCTTCCAAAGTTGTGACAAAGTTAAATCGTCCTGGTGTCTCTGAAGCATTCTCACATAATAATTGAACAAGAGTTCAAGCTGACGACTTTGACTTTTTCTTCCTGGAACATTCACAATACCCCAAAATCTTAACGACGAGATATAAATCAAGATAAGCAGTGGATGCAAGATACATGCCTTTAAGAGAAATTTTATCTGTATATGGAAAACATTTCTGATGCAGTCATGCGTACTAGCATGGAAATCAGTAAGATAACTCAAGAATAGAGATCAGAGAAATAACCTGGAAGAACAGAACTGAACATGTGCTCTAGGATTTCAACAGCACCAGGAAGGTCATTTGTTAACTCCTCAAATAGAGCTGCCGAACAAACAAGCGCTGCTGATTGATCATCTGTGACACCATGAGACCAGGTTGATTGTATCTTCTTAAGCTTCTCTCTGAACCCTTGGCGTGCTCTAAGGATTTGCATACTTGAAGACTGGGAAGTATAAGGAATATAAGCTAGACCACTTCCCAGGTAGCACAGAATATGTATGGCACGAGATGATGATTCTGTATCCCTACCACTGCCGTTACTATTGGCTACTTCCGATTCAGCATACCATAAACATAGCAAAGGAGCGTTACACTGTAATTCCTGCAATCATAGGTGAAATAAACTTAGCATGGCTTTTGCAATGTCAAATAAAATCCAAAGAAATCACGGAAATTGGGCTGATGTATCTCCGTACAAGAGCACAAAGAATAAAGCAAAATAAGTAAACCTATTTCTCGCTATATCCACTAGGCCATGCTTCCCTGTACATTACCAAGAAGACACTGATCTATAACATACTCTACTATGATCCGTCCACGAGATATTATCTTGTGAAAGCTCAAGTGGCAGGGCCCCAGTTTTTGAGACCAGTAAGCGATAATTTGAATCAGCAATAAACACAAAACCAGGGTAACTGATCTAGTTCCTTTGAATTAGAAACATAGGTGGAAACATGAAATTTTGTATCATATGCTAACAACATAACCAAAAGATCTGAAACTAACCTTCGAGAGGCCACAGATAGAAGTCAGTGCCATGTCGAAAACTCGTCTTGCATGTTTCATATTTCCAGAAGCAGCTTCTCGCTGTGCATAAACTCCACAAAGTAGTAGATCCTGTTCATAGAGAAGGAATCAGTTCAAAATTCAGATAAACTGAATAAAAAAGTAGACCACATCAACAAATTGGAACGGGGAATACCTGCCGGTCACTTTTCAGGAGACGTTTGGCCAAAGCTTGGCATGGCGTAGTTGCTACCTCACATGTTTTCATATTTGTTACATATAACTCTTCTGCAACAAGCACAGCTTCTTCCAGAATGTAGTTTCGCGGAAAAACATTTAGACAAAGCAAGATGGCATTGCGGAGAAACTTCATCATCTCAGCCCGCATAGATATGTCATAGCTGCCACCTAAAAGAGATACCAAGCTGAAGCAGTTGGCACTATCTGATTTCGACAGACATTCATGAACACTTCTCAAGTTTTCTAGCATAGAATCTGACAATGTTTCAAGGCTACTTATTTTCTCACTCCACGACAAACTGTTGCTGGAAGTCCATGGGGAGATATGTGCACCGAAGAAATCAATGAACTGGTATACCAGAGATAAGCGGGCCTCGTTTGAACATAAAGAAAATAGATATCCATTTATATCTTCATATAGTACAACACTTGAGAGTTGCTCTTCATCTTCTCCCTCACCTATTCCATCAACACTGGAGACTCCACCTATTGAAAGATGATGCACAGTTAACCACATGCATGTTTACAGTCTTCTAAATAAGATTGCAAGTCAATCCCATCAAACATATCTATAGAGACTGAACTTTATTTACTAATGACAAAAAAGGCTGAGCGACTAGTCCCACTTGGACAAAAAGCTCACCCAATAGACACATTAAGACCATTGTAAGCTCCAAGAGAGAAGATGAACAATCGATAAAGAGATAATGATGGTAAAGGTAGAGATAGATACCAGCTTTCCGAGTAGGCATCCATTGACTGTGATCTCGAGAAACCTCTTCTTCAAACCATTTTACCCAAGTTGATGTATCTTTAACCTCATCACTGGCCGCAGCATTGACATCAATGCCCAATAATTTCAGCATAGCTTCAGTGTCATCTTCCGGTTTGCTATTCTCGTCTTCCATTTCCTCATCCAGACTCTCACGATCAACATCGACCTCTCCAGTGTTAGCTGAAGCAATATCTCCATTTCTACCTGAGACCTGTTCTGTCCAACCTGTCCAACCACCTACCTCATTGTCATCAGAGAATTCTTCTTTCAAAATTTTCTGCCTGTTTTCCTCCTCTTTCTCCAGCCACAATAACCATCCAAAAGCTCCTTCTTCTCCAACTCTAGCACCATTACTGCTCCAAAAGTGCTCAAACAGTCTTAATTTACTCTGTTCAGTTAGCAACAAAGATGGAGAAAAGATGCTAAATTCCACTTCAGCTTGAAGTAACGCTGTGGCGAGCTCCTGGTAACCAGCCTGCCACTCAAACCTGCAGAGGCTAACAAGCATATCGACTAGAACGAGTTCCTGCTGGATGGCAGCAGAATCCAACGGTTCAGATGTTGTATCCACCTGCATAATCCAATAAATAGAATTTAACCTTACAATGTCTAACTGCTAAATAATAAGAATATCAATAATGTCAACGATTAAAGATAGTGGGGAAACACCAGAATAAACTAAGTATGATAAATGAAACAGGTGGACTCCAAATGACTTGTGACAGTAAACAAAGACGTATTGAAGTGATTTATCGACCCTTATCAGTTAGCACCATAAAATAAGAACCTGCCTATGTCGCTTGCTGCAAGCAGAAGAAAGAGCCTGGATCGCATAAGAATACAGCTTCCTCACTTCTGATACTTTGAATCTGGAGAACTCCCCTTGAACAACACATAGAAACTCTCTCCATAACTTGTAGCTTGCGGAATTTTGCATAAGTGCCTTTTCCCACCTACTGATTAGTACATCCGCGTTGTCTCTGCGTCGGTATGCCTTGAGCAGAGCAAGCAACAGTTCTTCGCTATCTGGGTTCAGTTCAAAAGCCTTCTCAAGTATACTAATCTTTTTCTCTAAAGTCTGCAGGCGAACTCCTTTCTGAGATTGCATACTTGAAACCTTGTCTTGAAAATCAGCAAATGCCAGCCATGCCTTTTCATCATGTGGACGCTCCCTCGTCACTTTGTTGAACTCTCGCGTTTTATTCAGCACTTCATCCTCCCATGATGCTCCCATCTTTGAGTCCTTTGATAAAACATCTTCTTCGTCACTTTCTTGGACAGTCTCATCTTCCTCCAGTGGAATGAAATTATCAAAGGACGAATCCACAGCTTCAGTTGAAGCAGATAAACGAATACGCTTGAAATTCTTGTTGCGTTCCAAGGCAGCATGTTTTGCATACCAATATCGGGTATCAGACTTTGCTCTCCCCTCCAAAGAATCAATATCAATCTCTGTGTCAAGCATAGAACTACGCCGATTCCGCAAATAATACCTCAGAGAACCTGAACCAGGAACTCTCTGAGAATTGTCAAGTTTATAACGAGGAACATTCATCCTGCATTATGCAAACAGAAGCAGATTTTCAATATCCCAACACTCTTAAAACTAACCATAACTACACAAGTAAACAAATTATAAGCAAAGTACCTGTAAATAGAGCCATAAGCCAGATTATCTGGATCAGGACGAGTATCCAAATAATAATCCTTCACAGGTTTCGAATAGTATTCATCAGATGCCTTAACTGAGGATTTCCTTGAACGAGATTCATCCGAAGAATTACCACTCTTCCGCTTCTTCTTTTTCCCCCGCTTCCTCATTACCTTGTCGCCATCAGACTCCAAAGACTCTTCTTCTTCAACCAAATTGTATACTCTAGGCTGATTAGCTTCACCAATATTCCCATCGGCATCTCCTTTTTCATCTTCTTCGTCTCCAGCCTCGACCTCGGATAAGGAAGGAGCCGTCGAAGCGGCAGCGTTGATGACGGAGAGATCCGTCGTGAAGCTGGCGTTGCGAAGCCATTGAGGAGCACCAGAAAAAGCTGAGACGGAGTTCGCCGAAGTAGGGAAGACGGGGAACAAGCCGCCTGTAGTTACCGATGCTCCGTCGCCGTCCTCTGATGTATTCGACATTACATCCACCGGGAAAAAAAAACCGATTCAGTAATTTTTTGCGCCGCTTTATAATTTCTGCGTAGGGTCGTGAAAAGGCCTAATTATTGGGCCTACTGTAAAAACTTAATGGGCTCTATTAACAGTGAAATATTTTACTCTTTATTCAAAAACATTCGAATTTGAATTCGAAACTACATAACCGGTAAATTGATTAATTATTGCGCCATATTTAATTTTACTCGTTTACTAAAAGTACGGCAAAAAGTAATAATAACACGTGCAATATTGTTTTCTTTCACTCAACCCATTCATTATTCGCATTATTTAGACTCTCATGTAGAGTTCTATATCTTACTCTAAAATAAAGTAAATCTATTTTAGAGGTGGGTTTCTCTCCAATGTATATCTCTATTTTCTACTCTAAAAAAGAATATTCTTAAAAATATTCTATTTCTATTTTATATACTACTCCCTCCATTTCGTTTTAGTTGTCGTTTAAGGTTTTCTCACACAAATTAAGAAAAACATTAAATTTTCTGTTTTACCCTTTATTAATATATTTTATAAAAAAATTCATTGGCCGAAACATTAAAACAGTAGGGATAAAACTGGAATTTTCACCAAACATTTGCATCGAAATCCTAAAACGACAACTATTATGAAACAAAATTTTAACTCTAAAACGACAAGTAAAACGAAACGGAGGGAGTAATACTTTTTAATTATATAATTTACAATTTGACCCCATATATTATAGATTTGCAAAATTCCCATAAAATATGAAATTATTTAAATTAAACACTAATTATAAAAAAAAAAACATTACATCATATAACAATAATAAAACATTACAAATTTTATTTTAAATAACACCATTAGAATATTTTTCTCACATATGATCAATTAAAGCATTTCGTAGTGAGAAAACAAAATTTTATTTTGTGATTTGAATTCCTTTCAAAACCCAAATGTTCGGGCATATTTTGAGAGTGAACAAGCACGGATTTTACAAAAACGACGTGTCCAACAACAAGATCAAGATCAAGAAACTCCTCCTCCATCTACTTCATTTGGACAATATTTTAACTATCTTGGCGGATCTACAAGCAATTTACCGGACTATTAAATTATTAGTTTTATGTTTTAGTTTTTTTATGTTGTTTATTTTAAATTTAGTATTTGTTTGCTTGTTAAGTTTATAAAATTATTTTAAATTTAGTACTTGTTTGCTTGTTATGTTTATAAAGCTATGTGTTGTAATTGTTGTTTATAAAATGATTATATGTATTAAATAAAAAAGTTTAAATTTGAGGGACTAAAGTATAAATAAAAAAAGTTGAACTCAAAAATAGAGTTGCTCTATATATAGAGTCAATCTGCAGAAATCTCTATTTTAGAGTCAATTATAGAGTAGAGTTGGAGAATAATTTTTCATTTTTACTCTAAAATAGAGTAGGGTTGGAGATGCCCTTATATTGAAAAAATATTGAATAAACTAACTTTTGTAATAAAAAGTGAAATTTAGGACAGTGTAACAAAACTAAATGGAGCGGACTTTCTCTCTCTTTTCTCTTTGAATCCTTCAGAGAGAGGAAGTCTTCTCCGATGATCAAATTTGGTTCCGGCAATGGTCGGCTTCCGTCTAGCGTCGTTGGCTCCCTTAGCAACGTCGGCTAGCTTTTTTTTTCCGGCATCGGTGGCTCTGTTTAGCACAGTTGGTCGGCAAAATTCCAACACCGGTTGGCTTCTTCCGCAACGGTGGCTGGCTACGTCTCCATCGATTCGTCCTCTGGCGATTCGGATGGCTTTTGTACCGGCTTTTGTCCGGATTTGTTTTTCGTCTTTCGTTCTTTCATTTCTCTTAAGCTTCGGTTACTTTGTGTTTGATTACTTTGACTCTCTCCTTAGATCTAGGTGTGTAATTCTCTGCTCCTCCCTTGCTGAAGGGGCTTATTTCGTTCTTTAAGCTTATTGGTTTTTTTAATCAATTAAGATCGGACTGAAGTTGCAGAGCTAAGACGCATTTGGTGCCTTTGGTTTTTTTTTTGAAGTAATTGGGGCTGAGTTTATTGACTGATGCTTTGGATTCGATTGAATTTTATGTTCTTAAGTTTGATGAAAGCAAGCTTATTTTAGGTGAATTGCAAAATTTTCTAGAAGATTGAAAAGCTGTTAATTGAAGAAGAAGATGATGAAGAAGAAGATGATGAAGATTTTCAGATATGCATTAAGTGGAGTCAGATTCTCATCAAAGCTAAAATTGGAATTTCGCTGTTGTTTCTTTGTGCGAAGATTGAGATATGTCGATTGATTAAGTTTTCCGCGATTTTGGCCGGAGTTGAAGCTTTCCGACATTACAACGATCTGCAATGATCGGAGACTCCTACATCTTTGACTTTCTACGTGTCTTTCAACCTGTTTCCCACTTGCCACGTGTTCTGTAATGTGAAATAGCTTTTCCTTCAGTTTAGGATTCTCTAAAATGGGCTTTTGTTTTTTTTTATTGGGTTTTCTTGTTTTAGTCTTTGTAAAATATTGGTCTGTCACATTTGGCTCTGTATTATCAATAAAACACAATTGTGACAAAAAAAAAAAAAAAAAAAAAACAAAACAAAACTAAATTGGCAAATGTGTCATTTTGCCTTTTTCTTCCCACCAAAACTAATGATTTTCCATGAATCCGAAACTAAAAATATTTATTAAAAATAAATGAAAATAAAAAAAGAAAAATGGCATAATTATTTGCGCATTGGTGGCGTTGATAATGGGATGTCCAAGGAGGAGGGAAGCGCCGGGATTGCAGAATTAAGGAAAATTATTAAGACGAAGAAGAAGAAGAAGAAGCTCCATTTGATTTTGCAGAACAAAGCAAAGACTTCAACAAGGAATAATGCAAGAAGAAATTGATTGAAGCTGCTCGAATTAGATCTGTAAGTGAAAATGATTGCTCGACTTCAAATCCTGGGTTTTGGGATTGAAATTTTTTCGGAAAAAATTGTTTTTTTTTGGGGTAATATTCTTGAGAGAAGGAGAATATTCTTTGTTAGGGTTTTCGTCCTCACGAATTTTCTTATTAGTCACTAAGTTGCTTAATTTGTTTCGTTCTGGGTTTTTGTTTGGAGGGAGGGATTGAATGAGATTCGAAGAAATATATAGTGAAGAGTTTCTGTTTGTGTAAATGTTTCAGGTTTTGTGAAACTTTGTTTCTAGGGATTTGGGGAAATGGAGGACTCGAGCTCTATCGACTCGATTTTGGAGTTTTTGCGGAAGAATCGTTTTATGAGAGCTGAAGCTGCGTTGATTAGTGAGCTTTCTAATAACCCAAGTTCAAATGGGTGTCTTCAAAAGCTTAACTTTGAGGATAATGGTGTGAGCAAGTTGTTGGATAAGACGAAGCAAAGGGGCAGTAGCCAAGCATTAGGCTTTCAAAAGGACAGTCACATTTCTGATGAATTGGTTGTGAAAGAGATTCAATGTGGAGCTGCCAATAACTTACGCGAGAGTAATCTTATGAACGATGTTTCTGTTCAGACACAAAGTGGTAATGCAGATTTTTGGGAGGAGAGATTCATGTTTTCTGAAGGATTTGAGGATACCGGGCTTGATTTACCTCCCTGGAACCATACTTCTACCGATATTGTAGCTGACTCTGAAGTATACAGTATCAATCCAAGTAAAAGAGGCTTTGTGAATCCACAGAGCTCAAAGAAATCGAGTCATGAAAAGGTTCCTGAAACTGGTAAAAGCAATGAAGTGGTTGTGGAAGACATCTTCTCTCCTTTTGAGAAGATACGGACTGGAAGCTCTAGTCAGGTATCTCAGTATGACAGTGGCAAAGCATGTCAATCTCTGGAAGTTGATAATAAGGTTGGGAACTCTGCAATACAAGAAGGATTCGTCACCACGTCTTGGTCAAGAAGTGAAGAGAACATTGGTGCTTCACCAGACCATTGGAAGGACTGTTCTGTTACAACTGTTTTTCCATTGTCCAAGGGAAGCACGTCAACAGAAGATAATAGTGTAGCCATTTTAGACAAAAGGCAAGGAAAGAAAAAGGTTGGCACCAGTGATTCCAGGATTCTTAATAAGGAGCAGGAAGATGATGTGGCAACAGCGCTATACCTTGGAAAGTCACAGTCTGGTTATGAACATAATAATCTAAGCAGCTTAGCATTTTCGCTGCCTCATGATGGTCCGAGGGAAGACTTACCTAGACTGCCACATGTAAAAATCAAGTCAGAGGATAAACCGATGAACTTTACTTGGGAAGAAAAACATGAGCGAGACATATTGGACGAGAAGCTGATTAATACTGAGAATTATTTCCTTATCGGCTCTTATCTAGATGTTCCTATTGGACAAGAAATCAATTCATCAGGTTAGTTGACATTATGATGGCTAACATCCAAATCTTAAAACTTTCTGTTCTGTATCTTTTATGTACACCTTTTCTTTTCTATAACTTACCTTTTTGTCATATCTTCAGAGGTTGTATTCCAGTTTAATTTTTCTTTTCTGATGGTGTCATAGGTGGCAAAATGGCTGGTGGAGGAAACTGGTTGTCTGTAAGTCACGGAATAGCAGACGATGCATCTGACTTGATTTTTGGCTTTGGCGATGGATTAGGTGCTCTCAATGAACATTCAAATGAATATTGGGACTCTGATGAATATGACGACGATGATGATGTTGGTTACATTAGGCAACCAATTGAGGATGAGGCATGGTTTTTGGGTCACGAAGTTGACTATCCTTGCGATAATGAAAAAGGCACAGAGCGCGGAAGTGTTCCTGATACGCAGGATAAAAGTCAAACCAAGAATGATGATGATCATTCATTTGCCGAGGAGGATTCTTATTTCTCCGGTGAGCAATATGTGCTCGCTAAAGGCATTGAGCCAGTTACTGCTTCCAATGATCCGATGGGTCTCTCAATGACTGAAACATACAGCAGGACCAAGGAACCTGATTTGCTTGCTCGATATGAAGGGCAATTGATGGATGCAGAGGAGCTAAGTTTGATGCACACTGAACCTGTTTGGAAGGGATTTGTCAGCCATGAAAATGATCTAATTTTGTTGAACAAAGGGAAAGTCGAGGATAACTGTAATAAACTCTGTCCGAAGGATATCCGCGCAGAAGATGATCGAAATGCTGCAGTTAGGTCAATTGGTGTAGGAATGAGCGATGATGTTGATGACAATGGGAGTATAATAACTGAATACTTTCCTGGAGAAGGTAGTGAATGGGATCTGGAGCTCCTTCCTTATCGCGGAGTTGGCGTTGCTGGTGTCAAGCCTCCACCTGGTAAAGGTGCAACTATGCAGCTTAAAAACTTTGCAAGTGGTGGTTTCTCCTTTCCCTCTCCAGTACCTGATAGACAGATGTCCCATGAAGATTCTGCAAACCCTGAATGGTCAAACCATTGCAATGCTGTTTTGAGAAATGAAACTGATGAATCAAAGGGCCTAATCGAGTCCGATAGTATGGTTGTTTCTTTGACAAAACGACGCAGCGGCTCTTCCTCTGAAAGAAATATAACAGACATGGATGATGAAAAGGTTGCAAGTTCAAGAAACTCTTCCCCATCCGCACTCTCCCATAGTTCTGATACTGGGAGAGAGCACAAGGAAGAAGATGAGGAAGAAACTGGTCATGGGCCGGAAGAAGATCCTGGGACCTCGTTCGAGGATGAGGATGCAATCGTGGTCCAAGAGCAAGTAAGACAGATTCAAGCCCAAGAGCAGGATTTTGAGACCTTCAACCTGAAGATTGTTCACAGGAAAAACAGGTCTGTTCCCTTACAATTATCGGGTATCTTTTGTTTATTATGTATTAAATGATGTTTGGTACACATTTTGTTTAGAAGGGGGATGAAGTCTATCCCAATTCTTGTGAACCTCAGGAAATTTATTTGTTTCGTCTATTATTCTTTTGTTGCCCAGGACTGGTTTTGAGGAGGATAAGAACTTCCATGTGGTTTTGAATTCTGTCATTGCTGGTCGTTACCATGTCACTGAGCATCTTGGATCAGCAGCTTTTAGCAAAGCAATACAAGCACATGACCTCCACACCGGCATTGATGTCTGTGTAAAGATCATAAAGAACAACAAAGACTTTTTTGACCAAAGCCTTGATGAAATCAAACTTCTCAAGTATGTCAACCAGCATGATCCTGCTGACAAATACCATCTCCTTCGACTGTATGACTACTTCTACTTCCGGGTAAGTAGATGCAGAATTGTGTCTTATTCTTTTCAACATCGGGTAGATATTCTGCTACTTTGATGCTATGATGTATCAATTGTTCGTTGATGAGATTCAGTGAAGAACTTGTGACGTGAGCCTGCATCATGATGCCATTGACTGTGATTAATTGGAATCTCAGTTTTGCAGGAGCACCTGTTAATAGTATGTGAACTTCTCAAGGCAAACTTGTATGAGTTCCAAAAGTTTAATAGGGAATCAGGTGGAGAGGTTTATTTCACTATGCCAAGATTGCAGGTTAGCCAACCTTTACTAGTCACAAGTTTTATGTATGTTTTTCGCTGCTCTCTTATTTTCTTCTAAATCAAAATTTTGTGCAGTCAATTACTATCCAGTGCTTGGAAGCATTGAACTTTCTTCATGGTCTGGGCCTTATACACTGCGACTTAAAACCTGAAAACATACTAATCAAAAGCTACAGCAGATGCGAAATCAAAGTTATTGATCTGGGAAGTAGCTGTTTTGAGACAGATCATCTTTGCTCCTATGTTCAGTCTAGATCCTACCGTGCTCCAGAAGTCATTCTTGGGCTTCCATATGATAAGAAGATAGATATCTGGTCACTTGGCTGCATTTTGGCTGAACTGTGTACCGGCAATGTAAGTTCCAGCATCGATGATACCAGTTAAAAGCTTTATTATAATATAATCCCCTAAGCTAGCTAGGACTCTATAATGTAAATTGGGTCTGCTTTTGTAGGTTCTTTTCCAAAATGATTCTCCGGCAACTTTGCTTGCAAGGGTCATCGGTATAATCGGATCCATTGACCAAGAAATGCTTGCCAAAGGACGTGATACATGCAAGTACTTCACCAAAAATCATTTACTATATGAGAGGAACCAGGTGCGTATTGAAAAACCAGAAAGAAAAAAAAACTTTACTATATAGTGCAGCTCCCACCTATTACTAAAGCAATTTGTAATGGTTGTAGAATTTGATTTCAAACTGGTCTAATGGGTTTGTGTTTGTAATATCTCAGGAGAGTAACAATTTGGAGTACCTAATACCGAAAAAGTCATCGCTTAAGCGTAGACTGCCAATGGGTGACCAAGGCTTCATAGACTTTGTGGCATACTTGCTCCAAGTTGATCCAAAGAAACGCCCTTCTGCATCTGAAGCTCTTAAGCATCCTTGGTTGACTTATCCCTACGAACCCATATCTCCGTGATTCGGTCGGAGCAACAAAAGCTGAATGGATGAGAGCTAGTCAAGGAAGAAGATGATGGTTTGCTTTTCCCACATTTTTTTTGTTGAAAAGTCTGCTAAGAGGGAAATCTTTCAGACCTTGTTGTATATTAATTTGATGTGTGACTATTGCTCATTTGGTCTCAGCATTTTGTTTCACTGGTAGCTTGTGAAATATAGTCCCTTCTTCGATTTTGATTTTTGCCAAATGCTTTGGGTTTGATTATATTGATTGTAGCCGGTGATATTTGTATTTTGCCTTTGCAGGTAATTTTCCGTTTACCACACCATGGAGGAATTGAACTTTTTATTATATGGTTTAGGTGAACAATATAAACCAGAGTGAACAATCCTACAACTACCAGTACTACTGAAAAGCCACTCTTTCTGATATATATATATATTTTGTTATACCATCAATATAAATATAATGTCAAGCAAAAATTAAAACCTTATTACCGCCAAATGGTCTAAATTAAAACCTTATTACCAAGTAAGTCCAAAGAATAACAGTTAACAGACAATATTTCTCTTGTGTTCCACAAGGCGTTTCCAATACTTAGTGATATCCTCCAAGGACATCTTCGCAGTCTTCACTTTAACTTCATCATCACCACTAACCGCTGCAGCCGCAGCAAGATGCGCGATCCGGCTAGGAAGCCCTTCAATCTCTTTCAGTACCTGAATGATGTGTGTGATGAGTCTATCTGCAAGGCCTCGGCTAAAGTCTTCTCTGATAACAACTCTGAGCACAGCAATGTGCTGTGCATCTGCAGGCATAGTGTAAGCCGGTATGATCCACCCGAATTTTCTCAGTGACTCTGCGATCTCAAACACCGTGTGTTTGCTACTGTCTTTGAGTGAGAATGCTACTAGTGGCACGCCAATATCTTTAGACAGAATGTGGAACTTCCCTGTCATCTCTATGCCTTCTCTTAGCCTCCTTGCGTTATCCATGCAGTTTTCCATTATGTTCTTGTATCCCTATTCCAGTTTCCAAAAAGGATCATTAGATTAAGCAAGTTGTCATCTAGACAAAAATAAGAGAACAAGTACCTCAAAGCCTAGTCGGATAAACTGATAGTACTGAGCAATGATTTGGCTCGACCCTGCAAAAAAATGTTGAGTTTCTTAAAGAAAATGTGATGATGGATTTGATTGGATAAACCAGTTTTTTTACAAACCTTTTGAGAAGTTGAGAGTGAAAGTGGGTTGATCAGCTCCTAAGTAGTTGATGTGAAAGACAAGTTCCTCAGGCAAATCATCTTTTGTTCTCCAGACAATCCAACCAACTCCTGCATACACAAGTCCATACTTATGACCACTGACATTGATACTCTTCACCCATGGAAGCCTAAAGTCCCATTCAAGATCAGGGTAGAGGAAAGGAGCAATGAATCCTCCACTTGCTGCATCAACATGAATAGGAGTTTCCCAACCCGTCTCTGCGTTTTTCTCAGCTAAGAGATCGTTCAATAGCTTCACATCCTCAAACTCTCCGGTAAGTGTAGATCCTAGAATTGCTGCAACACAGATGGTATTCTCATCCACCATCTCTACAGCTTTAGCTGGGTCCATCACGTAATAGTCTTCACTTAGTTTCACCTCTTTGAGCTCTACCTCAAAGTACCTTGCAAATTTCTCCCAGCACACCTGAACGGATGAAAAAAAAGTTTGAAAATGTATTGATTTTTGAAAGAATCAGATCACTATCCAAAGCAAGTGTGATAATTGGAGGATGAGAATTAAGTATATATTTAGACCTGAACATTGGCTCCAGTAACAATGTTAGGCTTATCAGTAGATAGACCCTGAGCTCTTCTCCTATGTTGCCATTTCCTTTTGAAAGCTAAACCAGCAAGCATTATAGCCTCTGATGAACCGACAGTTCCACACCCAATAGCAGCCTCGCCTTCTCCAACGGGAGCATGGAACAAGTTAGCTATCATATTTACACACCGGTTCTGAATACAATCGGAAAAACAGTCTTGACTCTATTGAGAATGGCAAACAGATGAGTTTGAGAGAAAAGAACCTGGAGCTCGGTAGTGACAGGGTATTCATCCATATCAACATAGTTCTTATTGACAGAATCCATGATGAGTTTGTCACACTCAGGTTCCATCCAAGTGGTGACAAAGGAGGCTAGGTTAAGCCTGGGATTGCCATCAAGCATCAACTCATCATTGATCACTTGATAAGCAGCATCTTTGGGCATGCAATGGTCAGGCATCTTGAACCTGTTTTAATATATGCAAACAAATACATAACTATATATAAACATAGAAGAAGAAAAAACTAAAATGAGGAAAGAATCCAGAAAAATGCAGAGAGACCTGGGAACAACAGCACGGACATATCTGGAAGCAAAAGTGGAATGCAAATGCTCTTCGGAGTCAGAGTTGGTTGCAAGTACCATTGTGTTTGAGTTATTCTGAATTGTTGAACATAAAAGAGGAAAATTAATGTCAGAAGCGTTTCACAAATATAAAGAAAGTAAGAAGGCAAAACTGTCTTAACACTAATTTAAGACATTCAATAACTAACTCCCTCTTTTTGTCCCCCCCTTGACCCTCTCTTCCCCTTGAATTGGGCTTTGGTACATCATTTGTACTTATTCAACAACCACTTATTATTGTCCTCACAACCATTAAACAGAGAACCACATCAGAAATTCAGAATCATCTAAATGCACAAATCTATGGTCAATCTGTCTCTTGTTCCCAAGATTACAGACCAGATTATACCAATACCATCTAAGTTATAAAATTATCAATTTCACCACTATAGATTTTTCCATCTCAAATATTTGAACCCTACAGACTACAGAGACATATAGAGTTGATCTTGTGAATACCTTTAAATCAGAAACGTTATACTGTATTGATTTACGAGAAACGACTACAACAGATTATATACTTATTGAGATAGAGAGAGATAAGGGATCTACAAAGATTCATGTTTATCTCCTATATATCCATTGAGATATTTAAGAATATCGAAAGATGCTAATATTATTACGTACCAAAAAAAAATTGAGGTTACGATGCTTATATCAGATGAAGAAGAGAAGAAACATTTTTCTCAGAGTCGCTTAAGAAAGAATCCAATACCAATATAAGTCTCGTTCTCTCTCAGAAGTTCTAAACTCTCACAGTATTACGCACCACCAATAATACTTGACTCAACAATACGCTTTAAAGATGATAAAATGGCTTACCAAGAAGACTCCATCAGGACTGCAACCAACTCGGTGTAGTGATGCAGTATACTCGCTAGCAGGTGAAGCCTGATACCAGTAATGCAAGTAACTCTGGTATGACCAGAATGAATTGGAAGAAACAATGCATGCTTTCGCGGAGAAAACCAACCAAGAAGCACATAGTTTGCTAGGAAGCCTCCAACTTAAGGGACTGAAAGTATCAAATGATTAGTTGCAGGGGAAGGAGCGTGTGCACCATTTGGATGCCCCCAAATTGTGCAGTGGAACCAAGTCAAAATATATATGGCAAACAAAAAGAAGTATACGAAACAAAATCAAATTTTATTGAGAAACTAATGATCTTGTTCAAAGAAGATGACAAAAGAGAAAGAAAAAAAAACAAGCAAGAAATAGATGGTCGACTAATTAAGTTTCACTAGACTTGGAACATAAGAGCACACGAGTGGGTAACACCTTACGTCTGATTCTCCAAGATCCACTTCTTTAAAGGATCCATCCACTCCAATGATGTAAGCCATGTTGCGCTTATCTTTGTAGTCTTTATCAAAAACCACAGCGACTTTCTTCTCCTCGTCAATGAAGAAACTCCCCAAATAAAAATGAAACTGAGGGCCAATGAGTTGTTTTAAACTCACTGATAAGAACACCTTGCTGTTCCAGGAGACCGCGTTGGGCTCAATCTTAGACGTAACCCAGATCTCCATCTTTAATGTATCCCACGGCTGATATAAAACAGCAAGCTGCTCTTCTCTAACACTAGATACACTCATAGCATCTTCAGAAACAGCAAACTCAAACGGAAGAGGCAAAGGCGGCCCAAATGTCTCTCTTGTGAAATCAAAACAGACTAAGAAAAAATCGTCTATTTCTCTGGTTTCGGAATACTTCTCTTCAGCAAACCAGTACGCATTTCCCTTGAGAGACACGCCATGGTGAATAGTCCTTAAGTGCCAGTCTGGAGTGACATCAAGAACCCTCCATGAATCAGAGTTAAAATCGTAGATTTTGAACTCATCAAAATGGGGCTTCAAACAAGTAATACCCCTCAAGATTTTGTGGGATTCGCTGCTCTTGTCGTATCCGAGAGCATACGAATAGCTATCGAGTTTGTTGAATTGATGTGTGGGCTCGATTGGACGGGTATGCCCCCAATAGGGGTTCCAAACCACGAGCCTAGTCTTGTCTTTGGTGATGCTGATGCATAACAATAAACCGTCGCAGTGAAAGACTTGAGATATATCAAGTTCATCATCGCCTAAGCCAATAAGTTTAGCTTCGCGTTTTATACATGATGATTCAACCGTGTTTTGAAGATTGACTCTCATCAAATAAACCCTAAAATTCATCATCATGACCACCATGAACTCCTTTGCTTCTGCTACTTTTGCTTGAGCAAGGTGCTTCTTTGCAAAGCTCCCACATTTGGATAAAGTGCTCCACTTTTTGCAAGTAGATCGGACAGGCCTCAGAGATGTCAACGGAATTCTACAGAGCACCTCCTCCGACAAATCTCTTGGAAGATTGGACATCTTCTTCATTCAACCAGGACCAACGTTACGCAAACTAGTTAATGTCGGGAACTATTTACGTTTATCTTATTAAATAACAACAAAGGAAAACAAACAGCACCTTATTTTTCCTCTCTCTGTGATTACCGATTTCTTCGGCCTCTCGATATATAACAATCCCTTAAGGATTCGATGAAAAAAAAAAAAAAAACCAAAAAGCTCAATCGGGTCCATGTTCACTAAAGTGGACTTTAAAAGCCCAAAAGCCTATCCAATGTTGGACGAGAGATAGCAAGGCAGAGATTTAAAATATAAACAATCTAAAAACCCAAAATATATCGGGGAAAATGTAATAAAAAGCTTCAATAGAGGTACGAATGATGCTTATATCAGATGAAGAATAGAACTACAGAAGAGACATTGTTCTCAGAGTCGTTTAAGAAAGAATCCGATACCAATATAAGTCTCGTTCTCTCTCGGAAGTTCTAAACTCTCACAGTATTACGCACCACCAAAAAAATTTGCATAAACGGAGAGCGCCCTCACAGAGTCAGAAATCTTTTTAAACGTACATACACGACTGCCCACAAAGCCTCTCACCAAATTCCCAATTCATATATCCGGGAAATAAAAGAAGAATCTCCGGGGAAGGGATCATGATGAGCCCTGACACAGCTCCTTCACGGCTCTTGCTGCGCCGCTGTACCATCCTGCTGCTGCCATTGCACCTGGATCTGGAACCGTTGCAAGAATCTCTGCAGACACATAGCTTGATCTCCCAGCCTGTGTTACACAATCTCATCCGTCATCTCAATATGAAAACCATTTAGCATAAACAAAAGCAGACCGAAATAATGGTAAGGTAAACTCACCTGTGCTTGCATCTGTATTGTTGATTCCGCTCCTGCAGTTGCTGCTTCGGCTGACAGAATGAAAGCAGATATCGGATCCTCTCCACCGCTCAACTTCTGTTCTTACCAAAAGCAAAAACTTATTACTACTTGTGCAAGTTGCAATTATCTAAATTTTCAGCGTGAAAGAAAGTAAGTTGCTCTTTGTCACCTCCTCAAGAACTTGTGAAGCTGGGATGAGAGCATCTAGCATCGTTCTGTAGCCTGCACTTGCTCCACCATATTTGCTGACTGAAGCGATTGCTGACTTGAGTGCTTCAGACCCTGAAATGCAAAATAAAGTTAATGTCAAAACAAGCCTGTCCCTTTTAGCATACTAACTATCCACATAAAAGCAAGTATGATCTCACAGTTTTTGGGAGTGACTTCTGACTGAGCGTTTGCTTTTAACTCCGCGTATGCTGCCTTGCAGAGGAGATGGTAACTGTTTTCACAAGAGAACCCGTAATGTCACTTTACCAATGAATGCCAACAGCATGACCTGTCTATAACGAAGAAAATGTGAGATAATTTTATGAGTTACATTATTCCGCTTGTGCCCCCCATGGCTCTTTTGATTGATGAACCAATCTCATTCACTGTTTCCGCAGCATCATTGAGTGGATAACTAGAAACAAAAAGCGACATGGTTCAAACTTTTGTCAAGAATCTCTGTGAAGAACTCAACATAGAGAGAGGTATATGAGGGAGTAAGAGTAACAAATGAACTCACTAGTTTTTCAAGTCCTCCAGAATAGCTGTTGCACCTCTGTACATCTACAATATTGATGCAAACCCATGTAAGATAATACTAAATGAACATAATATAATTATGCACAGTGGCAACATCTAAAAACAAGACTCACTGTTGACCCACAATCACCGTCGCCCACTTTTCCATCCCATTCGTTCAAACTATCCTTAAGGCTGATGATCACAGTTGCTGCTGCTTGAATAGCTGCCTCAAGAATCTGACCCTCTTTACTCAGCTCTAGAGGTCGACTTTGAGACTGGTATTGCCAAGTTGTCATGAGATTTACCAAAAACATTTGTCAACAAACCTTGAAACCTCTACACAACCTATATTTATCAAACTTGTAAAGCATACCTCGGTGCTTTTTATTGATCGAGAAGGAGGAACAGGAACAGGAATCTTCGCTGGTGGCCGGTTGCCTGCAATGCAGCACAAAACTTTTGTATCTAAGACTATATTCCAAGGAAAAAATTCATGGAAATCGGAAACAGGTTAACTCTCACGGACCATCAGTGCCAACAGGCCAATTTGGAGCCTTGGTTGGAGCATCCAATCGGTCTAAAATCGACTGGTCAGCCTTCATGATTGAAATCGAGAATCCTGGCAGAGGAAGCATCATCAGAGTAATAACAGGAGCATGTAACACTTAACTAAATGAAGAAATCTACAGAAACTCACCTGCCATATCAAGAGAAGTCATAAAAAAGCCTGTATACACCCTATCAACGGCAAGTCCAAATTCCAACTGCAGTTTAGGGACTGCTTTTCCAGCAGCAATCATAAGTTCCATTAAAGGGGTGCCTCCCAAACTGCAAAATCGAAAAGAAGAAACTCAGTTCTCCCCTAACGACCAAATACACAGAGTAACCTACTAGTTCAACCAAAATTGATATCACAGCAGCAGTATTTGGTCCAGTGAAAATAATGGAGTACTAGACAAATTTCCATTTAAATAGGAAAATACATCGAGTGGGGCTTACCCATTAACCATGAGAACCACTCTGTTACCACGTGTAATTGGAACATAATTGGTCTCCTGCAGAAATGGAAAAATAATTGGATACGGAAACAAGAAACTTCCATAAAGATAGCACAAATTAAGTACATACAGGACTAAGTATCTGCTGAAGAACATGGGAAACCACCAAATCCACAGGTTGAACGTCAACCACAGCAGCACCAGGTTCTCCATGCTGAGAGAAAAGTTGAACTGGAATGTCAACATACGAACCAAAACACTGAAACAAAGTGAATTTGTGTGCAAACTTGAAAAGACAGAAAATAACATACAATTCCAAGCCCGAGTTCCATCTTCTCTGCGCCTAGACGATCTGATGTAACCTGTCCAGGAAGTGTACAGACGGATAATGCAACACCCATGGTACCAACCATCTCTGACGCACATTTTGCCTCAGCCGCAACTTTTTCTAGAGAAAGACCAGCAGCTGCTGCTGCACCTGCAACCTACCCTTTGCCAAGCAGAAGCAAACAAAATAAACTGATGCTTGAAGCTTTATGTTCAGAACTTCTTATTGATTCTAAGCTAACATTACACACAATGTATAATGTGAAAACAAAACAAACAAATCAAAATATAGCAGCCCAAGGTCTCAGACATCACAATTTGAAAAGTGACAAAAACAAAACCAATATCAACGAACAGTCGCATACAAAAGACACTGATTTAAAGGGTGTTTAGAGAGAGGAATGAAAGGAGGAGAGAACCTTATGGACGAGAACTGTTCCTGCTAACCCTCTGCGTCCAGCGATACCACGTGGCGGGGGTAAAGCGCAATCCTCTCCAACAATTACAGTCTACAAAGGAGATCATGTTATTCTGTCTGACAAAAACTCTAAACTGTGAAGTAGCAATAACGAGCACGAGCAGTACCTCAACTTTGTAACCTTCAGATTTTGCTTGTTCAGCAGCCAAACCAAAGTTCAAGCGATCACCAGTATAATTCTGTCAAGAGAGATGATGGGGAAACTAAATTAATCAAAAACATAGAGACAAGAATCTATAGTTCCTCGCAACAATAAAACAATCTGTCTGTGGCTCTCTTTCCCACTCTGACTACCTTGACAATCAATAGACATCCCTCACTACCAGTTACAGCTCGGATTCCCTGGAATTGGACAAAAATTTATCATTCCCTCAAATACACAGAAGAAAAAAGGAGACAAAACCCCATTTGGAAGACTCACAGCAAGGATAGAATCAACTGGTGGGGAGGCAAAGACATCTCCACAGATAGCAGCTGTTAGCATTCCTTCTCCAACGTATCCAGCATGTGCAGGCTCATGCCCACTGCCTCCACCTGCATACAAAAGCGGCATTGCTTATAAGAGGTTCAAAACCCTACACCAACCACCTGATAATCGGTCAAAAAACTCCCACCTGAGATAACGGCAACCTTGTCATATTTTGCAGCCGAAACATCAGCTCGTAGCACCACTTTAACCTCAGGAAAGCCATCCAAATACTGGAGTCCAGGATAAGTTTCGACCAGACCCTCTATGAACTCAGTTACAACATCTGCAAAAAGGAAACCATTCTTTAATCCATTCTCTCTTACTGCAAAAGTCACAAGCCGCTAGTTCTATACCAAGAAGATGTTAATTTCAATTCCATATAGAGATTATACCCTAAGCCATTAAAATCATGACATCGTGTTGACCATGCAACGAAACACAACGGTGACGAAGCAGCATTTAGAGGATCGCGAACAAAATTGGGGGGGAAATGTGAATAAATAGACCAAGGCGAATTTTATGAGCAATAAGCTCGCAATGCAAATAATTTCGCAAACAGTAACACAATCGAAACAATTAACATAGGTCAACAGTTCGCGAGAGCTTTGTCGATTCTCATCGACCTAATCAACGCCGGAGAAAGAAAAAACGCCTCCAAACATAACAGAGAAACGCAGGAAAACAACAAAGAAGAACGAACCGTTGGGGTTGTTGATGAATTTCTTGGCCGCGAAAACCATAATTGCGAGTATGAAGCGATCAAAACCTGAGAATCGGAGAAGCTCGCATGTAAGAGGAGAAGATTGTAGCGGAAGGTTTAAGGCAATCCAGAGAAATGAGAGTCAACAACAGCAACGCGTGAGAGAGAAGAGAAAGAAGCAAGAAGAAGAGAGACGCAAAATGGGAGTTTGTTCCGTACGAGAAAACCCAAAGTTAAATAAATGGCAGTTGCGGAGTTGATATGGGCCAGGCCCAGTTTAAGTGGATAAGATAGATTATGACGAATTTGTATATTACTTTATTGGTATAGATTTATCACCTAATTAGACTCTAATTCGTCACTGTGTGGTGAACACGTGATACGGGTACGTTGTCGTGTGTCACGACTCACGAGTTCGCCTGTGCCGTGTCACTGCGTGCGTGTATTGGTCTATTGGATGATAAAAAATGTATTTTCTTTTTGTTAACTTGATAAAAATGCATTTGCTTAGAATTTGTATTAGAGATTAATTCTAACTTTCCATGTCGAATCATTCTTAATGATTTTTTTGTCTAGATGAATTTTTAGTAAAATTATATCAAGAAAAAAAATTATGCATATATTGAATTAGTTTTTCTTTTCTGCTCTTTTAGTTTGGTCATAAATTCTATATTTTAAATTGCAAAGTATCGTAACATGTTGACCCCAAAAAAAAAGTATCGTAAGAAAACTTCAACTTTTAAATCTACTTTTTACTTATTTTTTCAAGTAAGGTTATCTAAAACAAAAACAAGATGTGAAAATCTATTCGAACACTTGTCGAAATTTAATATATAATTTATTATCCTTTCGTACTCAATTATATATCCACATTTCATTCATAAGATAAGATAATTAACCTTAATTAAGTCAAACAAAATGCTAACTTATGCATAAAATAAAGAGTACCCATTAGAAGAATTTGATGAACAGAAATAGCCGCAACTTCTCCAAACACATCAAGACCATGATTAAAGGCAGGTTCTTAAAATTTTCTTAAGCTCGATCTTAGCAATAAATGATTAAAATTAAATTCCAACTAAGTCATTATTACTAAGAGGATTTCTTAGGTAAGCAACAAAAAAATAGTTAAGAACCATATTTTACAAATATAATACTTAAATATTCTTAAGATTTATTTCTAAGACACTATGGATAATCATGCTCTTAACTTGTTCCCAATCTCAACGGTGCTGCGTGGAAAAATAATTTGTTGGAAATAACTATCACAAAGCCAAAACTACAACGAACATGCTTAAACTCTAACGTTTCTTACCAAATCCAATTCCAAATAGAAGAAAGAAGGAAACGAATTACTCATATCAGAACATCTGAATACAGTCATGAAATATACCTGCTGATTCCATGCAAGGATGAACTAAAACCATGCCAGCAGATTCCAACGTATCATGATTCATGCAATGCTGATCACCTATAGCTTCCTCAGATAAAACATCAATCTTGCCAAATATTATTTTTCAGTATAAAGGAAGATAATGACTCTGCCTCTTCACACGTAGAGCACACTAGGTCTATATACACATCAAACAAAAACAAACAATGAGCACACTGCCCAAGCATCCGTGGTCTAGTGGCAGAGGAAGCTTTGGGAAAGGGTGAAACTCCCAAACCTGAGTTCGATTCTCCCTGAAAACAAAAACACATTTGTTTGGGAAGTCTGTCAGTTGGGCCAAGACCCAATTGGTTTACCTGGTAGCCAGAAATGCAGGCGGCCTGACTACCCCTGGCACTTAGTCGGAAGGCATTCCAAACTCGGGATAGGCAGAGTGGTAGCCCGAAAGAGCCTAACCGTTAACACGGTGGACCAGTCCACTATGTAGCACATCGGTGGGTTCCTACCGGAGCCGACCGGATAGCCGATAGGGTTTATTAAAAAAAAAAAAACAATGAGCACACTAGGTCTATATACATCAATATACATCAACAAAAACAAACAATGAGCAATCAAAATTTGATGCGTGGGTCTACTAGCGACTAGCAACGAAGTCGATACATTATAACTATTGGGCCGTAAAAAGGCCCATCAATTAAAAAACAAAAATCAAACCGGCCGGCAACACGCTCACGGCGTAGATACGTGGTCGACGCGCGCATAATCACAGATCAGAATTATTCTTCCCAAGTTCACACGGAAGATTTGGATCGAAAGAGAGCGAAAGAAAGAGATCTAGAAGAAGGGGAACAATGGCATTGCAATGGCTTATTCTGTCGTATGTGGTCGCCGCCGAGGTCGCGATCGCCGTCATCTTGACTCTCCCTTACCCAATGCTCATGAAGAAACGCATTGTATCACTTGTCTCGCTCATACTCAATCCTGCCGCTTCCATCGTCGCCTTCGCTGGATTTCAACTCCTCGGTAATCACCACTATCTATCTCTCCCTCTCTTAGATCGTCTAATTTCCCGATTCTTCATAATTAGGGTTTCGAGTTGGGACTAGTTTTGGTACCTTTCTTTTTTTTTTTTTTTTGGTAATTACTCATGTGAATTGTATGGCTCATGTGTTTATTTCAGATATTTACTGGAAGAATGAGCATAGGCTACTGTGCTCATCTGAAGTTTGCACTACTACAGAGCGGGATCGTTACGAGAAATCCGTAAGTTCATCTATAACACATTTCACTTATGATCTTTGGTACTAGAATTGAAGTGTGTTAGTTCATACTTGTTCATATTATAATGTAGAATCATCGGAGGATCCAGTATAATTGCTTTAAGTTAGTTGATGTCTTAGTAATGAAACAACAATTGAGTTCTCAGTAGCAGCACTACCAATTGCATATATGGTCAGAGACTCACAGGGTTAGTGCTAGTGCTTAGTGTTGATCTCTTCTGAGCTCGCCTTTATAGCATCACTTTGCTGTTGTTAAGAGGTATAAAATGCTGATCTTATTTTGGTGGAAATACCCGAATGTCGTTTCTTTGATAAATTTGTCAGAATGGAACGGGTGTCTTGTTCATTTTATGCCCTTTTCTTGTGAACTTGTTGGTGGTTGGTTTTTGATGAGATTATATCACTCCAATTGTATCTCTTTCCTAAATATCTATCCGAGCCTTTTCAATTTACGTCTAATCCAACCTTAGGTGTTTTCCATCTGTTAACTGTGGCTTCGGTTCTTTGTCCCTAAATTGTTTCAGTTCAGCTTGCTTACTAGTAGTTTACTTGTGTTTCAGATCTATAAGGCTCAGAGGAATGGGGTTCTGTGTGCGGCTGGGATCCTGCTCTACTGGTACATCATCAACTATATAACTTACTTGGCACTTTTGTATTTTTACTGATATTCTCTTCTATTCACTGACAGGTGCATCTTCCGCATCTGCAAGTACCACAAAGACCTTGAGCGTTTGGAGGAATTAGAGAAGAGATACAAAGACGAGTAGAAGTCTTCCCAAGTCTGAGAGTCTTGTTCTTCTCTTATAGTATCACCTCGGCTTGTGACTAGTCCCAAAAACTGAATGAGACCATGATTGTCTTGATAACATCTACACACAAACCCTTTTTGTGTTAATTCATTTTGCAACTTTTGGTTTTCTTTTCGAGGAACAACATGCTTTGTTTATTTCACGTCGAGAAATCACTTTGACATATTATAGTTGTTACAAGAAACCTAATTCACGCCAAGTAAAATTGGCAAATGTCTGGGGATTGACTTGGAACTGGGTTTTATAGGCTTTGATTGTCCGATCCGGTTTTTGTATACCATTTATCCGAGCTGAGCCCGTCGGAGCAAATTTATGATATCTCTGTTTGGTTTAGAGTATTTGGCAGTTAACTGCATGCTGGTCTTGCTTGAATCGGACTGAGCCGGCTGGAATGATGGTTGCAACCCAGTCGCGACCGTATCTACTAACGTGAAAGCAACCCAGTCACGTACGTATTGACTAGACCAAAAGGTCCAAAACAACTGTTACAGATATTTGGGCCTTAATTTGTTACGGCCCTGAGCCCCTGACCATTTCAACGTTTTTGAACTCAAAATAATGACATTTTTTAACGAATTAACTAGAGATTACAACACTGAAAACTTGAAAAATGTACACAGTGTTCACTAAATCTGTTAAGCTACGTGACGTGTTAACATATGAGAGGCTATAGCTGCTTTGTCCGCTGTTAGAAACTAGTCGGAAAGTGAAATATGTGGTCCAATAGCAATACCATCTCGTGACACAATCGGTTATACTAGAATTAAATAATCAAAACCCAATCATGATTGAGCACATATTCTTTTCCCAAATATCCTTCTTATAGATAACAATTGTCAATTAATCATCAAAACCTTTTAAAAGTCACCAAACTACTTTTGAATTTTCCATATAAAACAATTACTAAAAATCCACAATTCTGTTATTTTTACCCAAAACTCAAACCACAACTTTGTTATTACTTTTACTAAAAACACAAAACCTAAACTTAGGGTTTTATATATAAGTTTTTTCAGAATTTAGATTTTACCACAAAAAAACCAAAATCTTTGAGAGATTCAAAACAAACAAAAGAAGAGGTGGATGTCAGAATTTGAGATCGAAAAAAAAAAAAAAAAAAGATGCTGCTACTGGTTGGAATATCCTTCAGCATCTTTAACCGCACTTTTTTTTCTTTTTTTTCTTTTTTTTTCTTTAACCGCATCTTTAATATTTTTCGGTTTAAAAAGGATCATCTTCTCCCTCCTTCCTTCATCATCATCGTCTTCTTCACCATTCTCGTTTCTTTTCTTCTCATCACAAATTCCTTCTCTCTCTATATCTCTCGTCTCTACAGAGAGAGATACAAAACCTCCAAGTACGTTTCATCGATCTTAATTCAACAAAAAATTGTGTAAAGCTTTGATCAATAATTATGGATTCTCGTCGATCGTTAATGTCCGCCACGGCGAGTCTGTGTTTGCTATTGTCTATCTTCACCACCTTCGTCGTGGTGTCTAACGGTGAGCTTCAGAGATTTATAGAGCCGGCGAAAAGTGACGGTTCCGTTAGTTTTATAGTCATCGGAGATTGGGGTCGCCGTGGCTCCTTCAATCAGTCTATCGTTGCTTATCAGGTTTGGTCCCAAAAAAGCAATTATGGAATATTCTAATAATATTCTCTCCTCGTACAAATGATGTAATAAATTTTTACAGTTTAATTAATTACTCAAAATTTCCATTTATTACAGATGGGAAAAATTGGAGAGAAGGTTGATTTAGATTTCGTGGTGTCTACGGGAGATAACTTCTACGACAATGGATTGTTTAGTGAACATGATCCAAACTTCGAACAATCTTTCTCTAACATCTACACTGCTCCAAGTCTCCAGAAACAGTGGTACAGTGGTAATAATCTTACAAAAAAAACCTAAAACTTTTGCTAAATGTTATTACTATTTAAGGAATTCTCATCAAATCTCATTATGAATGATGCAGTTTTGGGAAACCATGACTATAGAGGTGACGCAGAAGCTCAGCTGAGTTCTGTTCTCCGGGAAATCGATAGCCGTTGGATTTGTCTTCGATCATTTGTCGTTGATGCAGAGTTAGTAGAGATGTTCTTTGTTGACACGACTCCATTTGTGAAAGAATACTACACAGAAGCAGATGGTCACACATACGATTGGCGCGCAGTTCCATCTCGCAACTCTTATGTCAAGTCTCTCCTCCGTGATCTCGAAGTTTCCTTAAAGAGTTCTAAAGCAAGATGGAAGATTGTTGTTGGTCATCATGCAATGAGAAGCATTGGACACCATGGAGATACTAAAGAACTCAACGAGGAGCTTCTTCCGATTCTCAAAGAGAACGGCGTTGATCTCTACATGAATGGACACGATCATTGTCTTCAACATATGAGTGATGAAGACAGTCCTATTCAGTTTCTAACTAGTGGTGCTGGATCCAAGGCTTGGAGAGGAGATATAAACCCAGTGACCATCAATCCCAAGTCTCTGAAATTCTATTATGATGGTCAAGGGTTCATGTCCGCTCGGTTCACTCACTCGGATGCAGAGATCGTCTTCTACGATGTCTTTGGTGAGGTTTTGCACAAATGGGTCACTTCTAAACAACTTCTTCATTCCTCTGTTTGAAGAAATAAGACTAATAAATTTGGCTTCCTTTGTAATTTTGTAACATACATTTAAGATTTTTGTAAGTCCTATTGCAGGCTAGGTAGGCTTCCTGCTTAGTTTAGCATCCCTACCATCTTTAGCTCTAGCTTATTCCATCACAATAACATATAAATGTACGATTTTTTCCTCGGATTTTTGATACAACTGTAATGATACCCTTAATGGGTATCTTCTTAATGCTACATAAGTTAGTCAATTGCATTACAGACCATTTTTTAGTTCAATACAAAGTGGTACCTAGCATCTACATGGCTCTCAACATCCCAAAGGAACGACCCGAAAGTCACAGCCTCCAAGACAAGCCTCTTCATTCCACCGAAGCTGATCTTTATCTGTTCGTCCTTCGATGAATCAACCGTTCCTTCTGGTGTTATTACAATCTCGGGCTTACCAAACAATGCCTCTGTGTGCTTCTCGATGATTCCAACAGCTTCTCTTGATCTTATAGTGGCGTATCTCTGAAGCGTCTCCGCATCAAATGACATCACGTATGACCTTAACCGGGACGGTTTAATCTCGCTGCCAAAGCCCTTAGCACTAACTCCGCCTGCAAATGAACCAACCTCTGGGTGAGAGGATACCGCCTGATATGTCGTCTTCTCCTCTGTTTGTTCAACGCTTGTTTTACTCTCATCCAACCCACCCGGAAGAATTTTCATTGTCTTCTCAAGCTGAAACCTTTGGTCCACCCTCTTCAAGAAATACCCATACATAACAGAAGCAGCGTAAACTTGCCCAACTCTGAGCTTGCTTATCTGAGCAACAGAGTTCAGATCACCCATTCTGCTTCCGAGAATCAGGGCTAGATGGTTGTGAATCATCTCGTACATCTCGGGAGAGTGAAGCCGCTCAAGTTTCTCCACTTTGGTCGGCCAAGTATCAACCCGACCAGACGGATCTGAAGATGGGCTTACTGATGGTACAAGTGATACATTAGCTTCCATGAACTTTTGAACCACCAATGCATACAAAATCTCTTCCAATGTCCTTCTTCTCTCGTTTTCCTTCACCTCCGCAATCCTCCTAAACACCAAAAAACATTACTCATTCAGAATCAAACTCATATTGTATACAAAACTGTCGAAACCAACACTAAAATTCAAAACTTCACATCATGCATCCTTTACTTATTAGTTTTAGATCAAGATCAATAATAAACGGTATATACCTGTAGAGAACGATGTCGGTTCCAGGTACAGACGATGCATCCTTGTTCTGTCCATCAGAGTCCCGATCAGTTTGAAGCTGCTCAAGCTGCTGTTCAACAGCTGCAGGCACAAGATGAGGATGGCTCACCAAAATCTGAGACAGAAACTGACCAGCAGGCGATTGAAGCTGAAGTGGCGCGATCGGTTTGGGGGACGAACCAGAAGAAGCATCATTAGACGCTGAAGAAGCTCTAACCACAAAACTTCTCCGAGTTTTAGCAGTCGTTGTTAAGCTTTGCAACGATCTTGAGGATCTAGCAGACGCGTTTTGCTGCAAGCACATAAAACATAAATAAATACATAAAAAGTTGATTTTTTTTTGCTTTCCAGGTTAAAATCAGATTGAACACAACCGGAGCAGAAAAATTGGGGAAAAAATCGATTTTGATCATAAAACTAGGTTAATTGAATCGAGAACAAGAGATTTGGGACATACCCTTAAACGAAGTTGAAGTCTTGAAGAACCAGAACGCGTGAATCCAGGGCCACTGGCGGTAAGGAACATAGATCCAGAACCGTTGTCGGAAGTTCTAGGTGGTAAGACGGGAGATCGAACCAAACTCGCCGTCACGGCATCCATGGTTACTCTCTGAGAGTAGAAAGAAGAGAAATCGAAGTTTTGGTCGGAGAAAAGAGATAAGAAGAAACTCTAGAAGTGCTTGAGAAAGAGAGAGGAAATGGCGATCGAATTGGTAAACAGACTTTGGTTTTAGTTCTTTGACAAATAATGCGAGTCGGGTTTGATTATTTATATAATAAAATGAAATGACTCACAAAATTATATTATTCGCTTAAATATTTTGTGACCATGGAAATTATTTGAGGCCGTGGTCATTGTGTGTCCTTCGTTGTACAAGAACGATATTTATTTTTTTGGTAAAGGCAAATAACGATTATTATAAATCGAATTATTATTTTTTTGGTAGCGTCATTTAAATATCGAACACAAGAATATCAACATCTAAAAAACCTTGCCTAGAAAGTTCGAAAAGAAAATCTTTGCAGTCATATATATAAACTCTAAATCACATTTTTTTCTTCTGATTTTATGCAGTCAAGAACTTTTTAGAAATTACAGAGTGACGCACTGACGTAGTATAGTATTTTGCCATTTTGGTCTAAAGCTTTACATCGTATTTTCCAATCTAGAGGGGAGGGGTCTCTAGGTTTTAAGTTTTAACTTTAAACTTTTTTACTAATCTTAGAAGCCTCTTTACGCAAACTAAACGAGAAAAGTAGAGTCAAACTATAAAGAGAAACGATGAGGAGAGCCACCAACTGATGTTGTGTCCATTTCCACTTACACGTATTATTATTACGTTTTGTTTGTTTTGTGACGCATGGGCTATTTTACCCCTACTTGGGCCCAAGAATCGTATACACTAGAAACAACCTTAGCCTCGCGGTGGATTGATTCCCGTTACGTGTTCGCAATTTCCACGTAGTCGGCGTATAAATTGAGTAATTCTAAAAATATCCATTTTCTGAAAATTTGTTGGTAAATTAAGCATTAGTTGATACTTGATAGAGACAGAGAATCTTAAGTTTTATCCACTCCATTGAACAAAAAATTCAAGGAGATAAGATAGAGAAAAAAATTATAAAATGATAATGCCTTCTTAAAATCTTATGGAAGATGGGTCTATTATTATTTGGATCATTAATCAATTAATTACGAACTTTCGTTAAAAACTTTGAATTATTTTCACGTGGCATGAAGTTGAAGAACCGACCAATTATTAGAACACACTCATCTCTCTATCTTCTTTAAGTTGTTTACTTTGTTCTTCGATTTGATCACCAACTCTCACATATTTCGAAATCCCAACACTTTGTTGCGTGTTATCTTCTCCCTCTCTCTCTCTTATAATCCTTGAGTTTCACGTCTCAAGTTTGATAACTTCTGCAATTCCCAGATTGATCTCTGTAATCATGGCTTCCATGAGTTTCGCCTTGAATCGCTTCTCTGGACTCTCATCTAAAACCACCTTATCAGCTGACTTCGATCCATCAACTCGCCGAAGTTTTCTACCGCCGACTAGAGTTGGACTTAAGATTTCTTCCGCCACCGAATCGGAGCCTGATCTCAGCGTCACTGTAAATGGCCTGAAAATGCCCAATCCTTTCGTGATCGGGTCGGGTCCACCGGGTACCAACTACACCGTCATGAAGAGAGCTTTTGACGAAGGTTGGGGAGCCGTCATCGCCAAAACCGTAAGCTCTAGAGATTTGACTTTTTCAATTTTAGAGTTGATGAACGATTGAATCTGTTCTGCGTTGACTATATTGGAATTCGAAATTGAGATTTCAGAAGTGATCTATAGGATTTTTCAGTTCTTGATTCTGCTAATCATTGTACCAAGAACGATGACTTGGTTGTGTTTGTGTTTGTGTATGATGATGATGATGATTGAGTTTGGTCTGAATCTGTGATTGGATGGTTTAGGTATCATTAGATGCAGCCAAAGTTATCAACGTGACACCTCGATATGCTCGGCTACGAACTGGTTCCAATGGCTCAGCCAAAACAGATGTAATTGGGTGGCAGAACATAGAACTCATCAGTGACCGACCTCTTGAAACCATGCTCAAAGAGTTTGAGCGATTGAAAAAAGAGTATCCTGATCGGATTCTGATTGCTTCCATCATGGAGGAATATAACAAAACTGCTTGGGAAGAGCTTATTGACCGTGTTGAGCAAACTGGGGTTGTGAGTATTCCCCAAAATACAGATTCTTATTTTTCTTTGTGGTTCTCTTTAACTTTGTCTGATATTGGTATATATGTTGAATAGAATAGACTGATTGTTTTGTAGGATGCTTTAGAAATCAACTTCTCGTGTCCTCATGGTATGCCAGAGCGCAGAATGGGTGCCGCTGTTGGACAAGATTGTGTGCTTCTCGACGAGGTTTGCGGATGGATTAATGCTAAAGCTACAGTTCCTGTGTGGGCTAAGATGACTCCTAATATCACTGACATAACAGAGGTGTGACATCTAATTCTCTCTGCCTTTGTGCTTCCTGAATAGTTGTGATACAATTTTATGCAAAAGTTTCCGATTCAAATCTACGGTATTGCTACTCTGTTTTGCTGCTTTAACCATGATTTTGTTCTTAAACTAGCCTGCTAGGGTATCTCTAAAATCAGGATGTGAAGGAATTTCAGCTATCAATACAATCATGAGTGTAATGGGAGTTGATATGAAGACGCTGCGTCCTGAGCCATGCGTTGAAGGGTTAGCTATATAGAACTCTTATAATGTCAAGATTTTAGCAACTTTTGTAATGGCATAACAAGAAATGCTAACGTTGTTGGTGTTTTGCAGTTATTCAACTCCAGGAGGCTACTCTTATAAGGCCGTTCGCCCAATTGCGCTTGCAAAAGTTATGAACATTGCCAAAATGATGAAATCTGAGTTCAGTGAAAATCACTCGCTTTCGGGTATCGGAGGTGTTGAAACTGGCTATGATGCCGCTGAGTTCATTCTCCTTGGATCAAATACTGTACAGGTGACTAAACTCAACACTGTCCTCACTTTTATGTTTTAAACTCTTTTCCTTTAGAAACCTAGTTAAATGCTTTTTGTTGGAAGGTATGCACCGGTGTGATGATGCACGGGTATGGTCATGTGAAAACCCTTTGCGCCGAGCTTCAAGATTTCATGAAACAACACAACTTCTCGACGATAGAAGAGTTCAGAGGGTATGAACAACTTTTCTTTTAGGCTTTTATATCATTCTTTTCACTTGCTTTTGCTGAGCAATCTCGTCGGGTTGTTTGTTGGCTTAGGCATTCGCTGCAGTACTTTACAACACACACAGATTTAGTTAAGAGACAGAAAGAAGCAGTTGAGCAGAGAAAAGCTGAGAAGAGAGGCTTGAAATCTGATAAAGATTGGACCGGAGATGGGTTCGTGAAGGAGACTGAGAGTATGGTTTCTAACTAAGTTAGTTGCCTGATGAAGTAGTGATGAC